TGTCTAAGGTTGTGAGTGGTGTGTTAAAGTCCCCAGTTATTATGGTGTTAGAGTCAATGTCTTTCTTTAGTTTTCCTAGAAGTTGCTTTATGAATGTTGGTGCGCCTATGTTGGGTGCATATATGTTTAGGATAGATATTTCTTGTTGATGGAGTGAACCTTTTATCATTATGTAGTGGCCCTCTGTATCTTTTTTAATTTTTGATAGCTTAAATGGTATTTTGTCTGAAATTAGGATCGCGACTCCTCCTTTCTTTTGTGTTCCATTCGCCTGAAAATTTGTTTCCCATCCTCTTACTTTGAGTCTGTGTATGTCCTTTCTAGTGAGATGGGTCTCTTGAAGGCAGTATATTGTTGCCTGGTGATATTTTATCCATTTTGTCATTCTATGTCTTTTCAGTGGTGCGTTTAGTCCATTCACATTCAGACTAATTATTGAAATGTGAGAGTTCATCCCTATCATGGAGTTCTTATTGAGTTATTGTTCTTCCACTTGGTTTTTTCTTTTTTCTTTTTTTTGTCTTTCTTTTGCTTTTGGGGTTGGTTTGTGTATATTTTATTCTTTTCCCTGTACTCTTGTGAAGAACGTTGTTCTTTTTTCCTTTTCTTCTGTGTTTAGTACTTTCTTAAGTGTTTCATGTAGAGATGGTTTTGTGGCTGCATAAGTTCTTAGGGATTGGATATCTGGGAAAGATTTTAATTCTCCCTCACTGATGAAGCTTAGCTTGGCTGGGTAGGTTATTCTTGGTTGAAATTGTTTATCCTTTAGGACTTTGAAGATAGGGCTCCAAGCTCTCCTAGCCTGCAGGGTTTCTGCAGATAAATCTGCTGCTATTCTGATTGGTCTTCCATGGTGGGTGATCTGGCCTTTTTCTCTTGCTGCCTTTAGGATTTTTTCTTTTGTGCCTACTTTATTTAGGCGAATTATTATGTGTCTAGGAGTTGGTCTTCTCATTTGTTGTCTTGCGGGGGTTCTCTGAATCTCTTGTGTTTGAATTTTTGTATCACTGATTAGATGAGGGAAATTTTCTTGAATGATCTCGTGGAAAGTTTGTTCCAATGTGGTCTCTATTTCTCTTTCTGTCTCAGGGAGTCCGATTATTCTGAGGTTAGGCCTCTTGAGGTAGTCACTCATCTCTTGAAGGTTTTGTTCTGTCTTTTTTAGCTTATTTTCTGTGTTTTTAAGAGTTTGGGTTATTTCTATATTTTGGTCCTCAAGCTCTGAGATTCTTTCTTCTGCTTGGGTAATTCTGCTTTCCATGCTTATCAATTTGTTATTTATTTCATTCACAGTATTCTTTATTACTGTTATCTCAGATATCAGCTCCTTCCTAGTTTCTTCTTGTGTCTCCTCAATTCTTTTTAGTCTCTCCATTATTGTTTTGATATCTACATTTGCATTTTGAGACCCTTCATTCTGGGGACTTTTCATTGTTTGTATTCCAAAGTCAATTTTCTCAGTGTCTGCTCTCCCAGGCGTCTGGGAGAGACCCATACTCTTCTTTTGGTTTTTCTTCATTTCTGTAGATTTTTCTCCCTTTACCCCTTTCCCTCCCCCTCTTCAATTCTGTTTTTGAGGGAAGGTGGGGTTGCTTTTATTTCTCTTCTGCAATGACCTGTTCTTCCTTATGAGGGTCTTCTGGTTTTGTTCACTTTTCCCTCTGCTTTACAGTCTGTCTATTCAGCAGTTTGCAGTCTTGGTCCCTGTCGCAGCGGCCACCGAGCTCCAAGATCTCCAACGATTTAAAATGTAAAAATAATTCTTAGCTTATAGGCCATTCAAAAATACGTGGTGGGCTGGGTTAGGCCCATGGTCTGTAGTTTACCAAACCCTGGTCTTTCTAGATACTTTGTAGGGTGACAGTAAATCATAATTCTAAGTGGTAGTTATTACATTATTTCCTAAGTAAATAATAAATGGAACGGTATATTTTACTAAAAAAGAATTTTTGGTTGCATACACTGTCAGTGCCAAACAATAGATTTAATATTTTACATATTACGTGAATAATGGGATAGGATTCTCCTACAGAATACCCTGACTTGTATGGTAATTTTATTTAATCCAAATCATAACATTGGTAAATGATGCCATCCTAGTATATATGATACATATTATACACCATGTAAGAACAGTACACAAAAGTCTCTACTTCATTTACTCAAAGGATATAATTTAGACTTTTTTCCTTAGACAAATAACAATCTAAAGTTTTTTCTCTCTGAGAACATGAGAAGAAATTTATCTCAGTTCTCAGTATCAAGAAAAGTTTAGTGCTGAGTTTACTTTGTGGTCATTGAGAATTTTGTACTTGGTCATGTCTCCCTTTTCATATGTACTGCTAGAAAGTTTGGAGCTAAAATTATTGTGTATTTCAGGCACGTGTGTAGGAGCTCCCAGCTTAGATTTTATGCATTAGCCTTGCTCCTTCCTCTAACTTTCTTACTTTTGTTTGACATTTGCCTCATGCTTACTTCTTATTTTACATCTTTTAAGGCTGTCTTTAATTCTTTTTGGAGCAAGATTAGTTTTAAATAAGCAAAAACAACTAGAATTATGGTTCCTTCATTTGTCACAATGGTTTGCCTAATGTTTCCATTCTTTTAGTTATACGGAGAACTCAGTAACAATGAGTACAATATTGATAATTTATATTTTTGTGATATGCTGAGTCTACAAGTTTGGACATATATATATATATATATATGCATATTTTAAATTATAAAGATGTGGGGTACAATTCAGGGATACGTATACAAACATTGATTATGCAGGTACCCTTGTTGATGAGGTATGCTGGATATACATTAGAAAGCATATTCTGTGACTAAATGTTTGGCTGGAAGGATGGGGGATCAATGTGAATGTAAATATTTGCTTTTGTGAGCCATTTTTTTCCTTATGAAGATAAACAAGGCACACTTTTTTTTTTTTCCTGAGACTGATTTCTCCCAACAATTCCTGGGTTTTGAGGTCAGTTGTCAATCTCTGAAAGAATTTAATGTCCTACAAGGGCCACTTACCATCACACACTCGTGTATCTTCAATTTATCGGCCTCTATTTTTAATAAAGGTGTAACTAAAACTCACCTGTACTTGGAATGGGACACTGTTCACAGGGCTTATTCCAGGCCCGGCCAATGTTGTAGGAACAACAGCACATCTTCTTGGTCATATTGAACAACAGTTCTCCATCACAGGTCTGGTTGTCAGCATAGTAGTTTCGGTAGCACAAACTTCTTCTCATATCTGCAAGAAAGGAGGAGGAAAATGGATTGGTGATGCCATGAAGGAAATCACAACAGATTTCTAAGGGAATGCTCAGAGAGCAAGTTTCTCTTGAGCTGTATTGTGGCTTGACTTTTGCAAAGGCAGAAAATGTTTCTAGCTTCCTATGCTGCTACAAGAAAAAAGGCTTTGAGAAATGTATTCTCCAGTATTTGGTGCCACAGAACTAAGTTATAATGTAGCTGTAGCATTAGTAAACCAGTCTCCTAGTAACAATTCTCCACTGCTATTTGGTAGTAAGTTTCTCATTTCCAACTCATGATGTTTTAATACTGTTGGCCAGTGCCACCAATATAATTGTATAAAGATATACCCAAAAGTCGAACAAAAGAAGTACTATTAAACTGTTTTTGGGGATTTTACAACATTACATTTTAAAGAAAACTCCCAACCACCCGCACAAGGTGGTGGAAAAATGTCTAGCTTATGGTTTACAGGGGAGGAGGCTCTTACTGAGACAGTGAAGGGATAGCAGCACTCAGTCCGATGAGTAACATTAACACTAAGGACTAATTGCTGGACTTGTAAGTTCTTTTCCTCTTTACAGATGAGAACTAAACACATGTGACTGAGAAGAGCTTGGACTTACCCATGCAATTATTTCCCCCATTCACTTGCATGTAGTCTGGAGGACAAATGCAGGTGTAGTTGCCAACGGTGTTGTAACAAGTCCCCGGGCCACAGATTCCAGGAGTCTCACATTCATTCACATCTGTAATCCAAAGAGAAAGTGGTATGTGGATATAAAACCTTTACTCTTTGAAATGGCCTGGTCCTCAATGTCAATATAAATGCTGACAATAGAGAAAAAAAATTCATGGGGCACTTTGAAATCCAGAAAAGAAAAATAGGTATTTAGTTCATCAGTGTCCTCTCCCTATGCACATGTGAATATTTTCAGGAAAGGTTCCAGAAAAGGACCTCTTGCCTTCTGATAGAAAGGCATATCATATATAGTAATGAGTCTCCTAATAAATGAGTCCATAACATCCTCAAAGATACTGGATTTGGAAATGTGGGAAATTAAAATTCTCAAATATCATTCAGGATGACAACTATATATTTCATATGTTTACAAAATCTACACTGAAGCCATCAACAACTGTCTCTATGAAACTGTACTGGTGAAGCAACATAAAAGGTACTTCATATTCACTCCCCATTTTCAACAAAGGGGTTGATTCTAGTCTTTGTTAACTCCATGGGTCTTAGAGCTGTGCCATATACGGTGTAATGCTTGACTAATACTCAATGAGGTTGTCACTGTCTAGGTGATCAAACAAGTCTTTTGGAGAGCCAGGGGAATATTTCTTATCAGAGTACAAGGAGGTTTCTTCCCCTAACTAGTCGTGTGACTCCTGTATACACATGAAAACCTCCTCCCCATCCTGGCCCATGGCCCAAGTGACCTTAAACCTAAAAGTGGTCAATATTCTCCACCTTTCCAGTAACAAGGAATGAACAGGGGCCACCACTTATTTAAAAAATGCAAAGGACTTCCTTCTCAGAGGAGCTCATCTAAATGAATTTGTACGAATGATAAACGGTGAAGGATAAGAAAAAGAAGAGTTTTGAATATAGAAGTTACTGAAATGGGTCCTGTGCTAGCTCTTCTCATAAAAATGACTTTTCTGAAGAGCATGGAAAACTCTTTTCTAGGCATAAATGGGACTATGGCCCAACATAATAAAACTCCACTTTTCTTAGGAAAAGAAGGAGATTTAGGACTTACTGAAAATGACATCATTTCAGTAACATTAGTGCAAGCTGCCACATGTGTCACATATTTATTTGACTATGCTCATGTTTAGGCCATTGCGTTACACTACTACATTATGTTTTCTTGTAACTGTATGCTGATTTTTGAGGTCAGTTGTCAATCTCTGGAAGAATTTAATGGGCCATTTAAAAGGGCCACTTACCATCACACACTCGTGTATCTTCATTCAGGTAGTAACCCGTTGGACAGCGGCACTGGAAACTGCCAAAGGTGTTGATACATTTCCCCCCCTGGCACAGTCCTGGAAGCTCCTGGCACTCATCAATGTCTATCAAAATGAAAACAAAAGCATTTCTTCAGCATTGCAAATAGACTCAAGGGGATTCAAAATGTGTATACTTTAAGATGAAGGAAACAGAAATACCTTCCAGTATAACAGTGATAGGATTTGGTCGAAAACCTTCTCCTCCAGGACAAAGAATTTTGTACTCGGCTATTGAAACAAAAAATTCAAATTGAGTTCTTTGGAATCTAAAATTTCGAGAAATAGTCTCTTCAAGAGAAAAACTGGCATGTCCAACTGAGAACATTCATTTTCAAAATCTTTAGCTGTTATTCCACCCATCTAAATCAAATTAACATCTTTGTGTACACTTGTTTTCAAATGGTTTTTACTATATGTGCCACATGAAGGCTACTGTCCTGAGTGTTTGAACCCTTTGACTATTCCTCTGCCTTATATGCCTGTGAACTATTTTACTCCCTATCTCCATAACTGTTTATTTTTAAAGATTTTCTTTCCTTTTTTGTTTTCTGATAAACTCCATCTCCATTTTTGTTTTATTCAGCCTTACTTCCTGGGAATGAGGAATGATCTTAATCAGCCTACTTCTAAAACCTTTTCCAGACAGAGCTTTACAAAAACTGTTCTCTCTTAGTTCCCAACCCACTTCTCTCTGTAATAACTAGATACATTTCTTACCCCTCTGTTTATACTGATGACAATACTGAGTCCCCTAATTTCCAAAAACAATTTTCTACAGTGTCCTTGGATTCTCCCCATTAATACTCTCATCCAAGTATTTTGCCTAAAACATTTATTTCAGTGCCATGCACCAGTACTATGATACCTACAAGAACAAGGGAATAAGAATGACTCTAATCTGCATCATCCTGGTATCTCTAAGATCAGTTCTTTCACAATCATCATGGTCTGTTCAAATCTGATATTCCCTATCCTGGCTTCCTGAAATTATATTTATACATTTATATATGTATATGTTCCAGTTATAACTCTAATCCAGATCTGAGGTGCAATGGATGCCTATTTCTTTGCTAATCATTATTAATCTATAGAACTAGCTCTCTTCATTAAATATCTTGGTTTGTACCTTTTAACATTCTTGAAATTAACTGTCTTCCTCTCTTTTTCTCCTCTTCTCTTTTTGCAACCATCCACTCTTTTTGGGTCTCCTGTTTCATGTCACACCTTTCTTAAAGGCCCCCAATTTAAAAATGCACAAAGTCACCACCACAGTCAACCAGAACGGACCCCCGTTCTGAAGAAAAACGGGGAGGAGTCTGCTAAGCACTCATCCCCGTACTGGGTGCTTTGCATGAGTGATTTCATTTAATCCCATGAGGTATTTTATGAATGCTAAGTAACGTGCCCAAAGTTACACAGGTGGCAAGTGGTGGTCCTAATTTGAACCAGGTGTGCTCTTTCTACCAAGCATGGCATGGTATGCTCTTCTTCCTTCTCTTTCCGAGGCTTATGTTGAATTATAGCTCTTATGTTTGGGTCATACTTTATCTACTAGGTTGTATCCTCCTAGAGGGTAGGCTCTGGTTTAATTCATCTTTGTACATCCAAAGAATATACTCTAGGTACTCAACAAATATCTTAGAAGCTAAGTGAATAAATGAGCTTTCGTCAAGGAAAGAATCCATACCTATCCCAATATGCTTTGTAAGCAGCAGTCACTAACTTTTGCCAAAGAAGCTCCATCTGATTCTGAATCATAACACAAAACACATTTAGAAAAATCTGAAGCTTGTCATTTTTTAAGGAGACATATTATTTATGTCCTTAATATCACATTCCAAAGCTTGCCATATAATAAGAATATAATAATTTTCCATTTCTTAGTTGTTTAACTAATTGCTTCTCTTTTACCCAGGGACAATTTGAGTGTGTTCTAGAGCTTTTGAAACGAGCCGAGATGATAACAGGAGAAATCAATCAGTGTGTCCTTGGAAGGTAGCAATATGGTCTAAGTATTCTAGCCTGGAAAATCTTTAAAGTAATGCCATCTGTTTTTCACTCAGAAGTGAGATGTTACCTGCCTGCTCCACATGATCTTTTACTGCAAGCCAACAGGGATATTTTCTGACTCCCAAATTGAGATTGAGGTCCCTCAACAGAACTGAGAGGACTGATCTTCCTTCCCTTATCTAAGAGTAGGGAGTAGTGGCAGCTCCCTCCCTCTGTGGCTTCTCTTCTGTGGCTCTAGAAAGGAGAACTGGCTGGAGTTGGAATAATAATAAACAGGACGATGTCCACTTACATGTGTTCACAGCAGGGCACAGCTCACAAGGAGTTCCCCAGGCTTTACCCAGAGAACAGCAGCAGGAAGCCTTAGAAACACCAACTCCTATTTCATTGCTACAGGCTGTATCTCCATTGTCTCCTCGAGGTCGAACATCCAAATAGCAATTTCCAGAGCGGGTATCTATTTACCATAGACAAACAAAAAAGTGTCAAGCACATTCTTTCTATTTGGGGGTTAAAAATTCAAACCACTTCAGAAACTGTTCAGAAACCATAATTTACTTTTACAAAGAAACTAAAAAGTGCCCACACATATTATATAGTGAGAAAAATTTTCCTACAGAAAAAGGACCTGAAGTAATAAACCAGATTTAGGAAATGTATAAATTTCTGTATTACTTTTGCAAAATTTGAGAATGGAATATTCACTACTGCTTTCAAAATAATAAACACGATGCTTCTCTGAAAAGTTTTAAAAATCTTACCAACACAGCCAACTCGAGTTGGATTCAGCTCAAAATCTGGTGGACAATCACAGGTATAGCTGCCAGCTGTGTTGATACAGTTCCCACTGATACATGTGGTAGGATCCAGACATTCATTAACATCTGAAACCAAACAGCAAGGGGCAGAATTACCAGCTGAACCGATGTAGGGCAGACATCACCACAGAACAGTAGTACTGAATCTAGAATTCCAAACAGGAATTTTTAAGTTACTAGTCATAATTACACCTAGAAATGCAAACGTCCACTTCTGAAATATAACCCCTCAGGAAGGAAATATGTCATAGTCTCTGGTCTTTTTCCTCTGGAATACATTCATCATTAAAATTTTTCATCAGGATAAAATATAATTTTGGAACCAGGAAAATTATTCCATTCAAGGTAACTGAAGGCAAAACATTGTTTTGACCTCGGTCAACCAAAAACTCAGACATGGGTTTTTAAAAGATATATTTAATATGAGGATCTTATTATTTCATCAAATTAGAGCAAGATGTTCTAGGAAACTCTCAGGAGCGGGCGATGCATGCACACACATGCATGTAGCTTAGCGTATTTCATCCAGTTGGCAAAGAGCCTCTCTCCTGTCACTGATGACGGGTTGAATATTCCCCTTTCAGTTTCTTTTCCAAAAATATGTACAAAATTTCAGATATTTAGGACATGGGTTTTGGCAAATTCCACACTGTACAATCCTTTTGTCTGTTTTGCACACTCATGAAGTACTCAAGAACAGATAAACGGCTTCTGAGAGGAGGGATTGGAGAATGGGGACAACACCTTCTCCTTGGTCCTCCCCTTGGAACTGGCAACTCTCCTGTGGGTTGGATGCAGATGACACTTTTGTTTAAATAGCATGTGAACTTGGAGAGACAAGGTTAGACTAACAGGAATGAGGTTAGATAGAACAATGTTGAAAGTGATCCAGGGCACTCAGGAGTGGGTATGGTCCATGGAAAGATGATTCCTGAGGCATGTGAGAAGCCCGGCTTGACATCATAATAGTTTTTAGGAAAACCAAGGGAAGAATGTATGGTTGGGGAGGAATAGTCCATTCCAGAGCATTTGGGGGAGGTGGTGGTGGTGGTCATGATCCAGAGAGACCCTGAGTCGTGGCTTGTTTAGGTGGCTGAAAAGACAAGGTTGTTTTTTCCTTCCCGAAATTTTGAACTCATACAGAATGGAACTTGTTTCCTCAATATCCTTGAACATAAGTGGCAATTTGTCGGGTGCCTATAGTTTTTCTAATTTTTTTCTAATGTTCCCTGAGAGTCTTTTGTTTGACAAGAAAATGATTTATATGCTAGAAATGGGTGACTGAGTTCTGCATAGTGGGTACTCTGGTAACCATGGGCATAGGAGGGGTGGGAAAGAGTGGGTATTGCAACATAAAAGTACAAGGAGAAAACCCACGATCCCAGGGCATGACCTCCAGGAAAAAAAAAAAAAATCTCTCAGAAAATGTACCCAAGGAGAAAACAAACTGACTGGGAAGCCAGACAGCTGAAGCACTCCTGGAAATTCCTCTGTAGCCATGAGCTCAATTTTAAGGCTATATACAAACTCCACTCCTTCAAATGTCTTCAACTCTTTCCTCTTCACCCTCACCTCCAATCAGTACCAGGTCTGAGAAAATGTTATCTCTGACTCCTAACACTTCATCTCAACTTTGCTTGTCCTCTCTGACTAACCCTTGAGTGGTCCCAGTGAGACTCTAACAGCTGGGTCCCCTGGAACCCCTGGGAGTTTATTTGGATGCAAAAGGATGTCTTACCTGTGCAGTTCCCACCACTTCTGTCCAGTTCATAACCTACTTCACACTCACAGCGGAACAGGCCAGGAAGGTTGTGGCAAGTTCCAAAGACACAGATGTTTGGAAGGGAGCACTCGTCAATATCTTAGGAAGGTTAAAAAAAAAAAAAGTTAAATTATTAAATTATTTTTGGCTGAAGAAGCTGCCTAATATAATTAGGCAATTTATATTACCATTGAGAAAATGAAGACTACCTGGCATTAATCTAGGGGCTTCTCTGTAGACTTTCAGATGATTTGTCCTATACAGAGAAGTCTTATAGGAGATAGGTTATATTTCCTGAGTCCCTGTTACATGCCAAGCTAACCATTTTATGGTATGTTTCTCATCTATGGTATTTCATGTAAGTTCACATCACTTTTGTAAAGTAAGAGCCTAACAAGCCACCTTAGACTAAATTGTTTGGTTGTTTTATCTGTATATTCACTGGTTTTGTTGTAAGTATAATTAGTTTTATAATCCCTAGTGTCTCTAATACTATGATGTGTGTTTGTATTTGTTGATGAAGATTGAAATACTGTAGACATTTCTTGCAGGCCTCTGTTCCTGCCTCATGTTAACATTCAGCTGTGGAGCTGATACATGGGCATTTTTTCAGGATTGAGACTAACTTTAAATAGCTATGACCACTCTGCCAGCAATGATTTATATTAAGAACAAACAAGCAAGCAAACAAACAAAGCCTTCCCTTACAGCAATAAGAGAAGCAAAACTTTCACTGTGAATATTTATGTTACCAGAGATGGCACAGTACCTGTTTTCCTTGGATATTCAAAGTAATAAAAGTAAACAAGACATTAGGCACATGATCCAGAGCATAATCTGGTTTCTTCCCTCAGAGAGGTTTTATATCAAACTCTGTATATTTAACATAAACTGTATAAAGAACACCCAATGGTTCCATAACAAAGAAAAGTATTTACATAGAAATATATGAGGGAGTTAGTATACATATCATAACTGAAGATTGGTTTTACATTTATGTCTTGTTAACAAGGAACAACTATTAGCTAAGACATTAATTAGAACCTTATTTAACTTCTACTGACAATCATTATCATTTGTTTATTTCTACTGAAATCTTTTTAGTTAATAATAGTCACTAATTCTTTTCAATGAAGGAGAATGTATTTAAACTTGTACTCACACTTGTGTGAGTAAAGAGAAGAATCTTTAGTTTCCCAATGAGATTCATCCTTAGCCAGCAGGTTCCTTGGATGCTTCCTGTCTGACCAACACTTACCAAAAAGACAAGACCTTCAGCTGAGAGACACCATGACATATGGCCTATCACAATGGATCCCTTACTGAACATATTTGCAAAAGACTTATTCCACGCTCTTCATGTATGCTAGCTATTTAGAGAATTTGGGAGACATGCCCAGAACATTATTCTACATATGGACAAGACTATTTACTCTGCCACTATTCTAACACCTTTTTTTTTCTAGAAATCAAACCATAGAAGAGCTTAAAAATTGTGTTTTCATATTTAAAGATGATCCTCCCACAGGACATTATCAGGAGACCAGCGTTTTGAATTCTTTCCCTCATCAATATGGTTAAGTGGATTGCTTTGAGTTAACCACACTTGGTTACCGTCTCTCATCTATGACAAATGGGTGTACCCTTGCAGACCATCTGGCCAAGGTTGGATGTGCTACCTGTGGCCAGATAACTGACATTTTCTCTGTACAAAGAGAAATGGTCAATTGGAGACCTAACCCCTCCACAAACTGAACTGACCAGCTTAGATGTGAAGCCAAAACACACTTCAGTTAAAAAAAAAAAAAAAAAAAAAAATCAGGAATGTTTAAATAACCTAATCTCATCAAGTCCTGCAAGGCTCCCAGCAGCTTCCCCATTAGTTACCTTCACAGGCTTTCCCATCAGTGCTGGGCACGAAGCCCATGTCGCATTCACAGCGGTATCCTCCTGGGGCATTGAGGCACTGTCCATTGCCACAGAGATTCAGATTCTCAGAGCACTCATCAAGGTCTGTAGCCAGAAAGAAACACAGGTCATTCTTCCTCGGTTAGGAGTGTCCTAATTTCTCAGATCTGCCCATTTTTATTATTGTCAACCTCCTAAGTGATTCATCATAATTTCAATTTGACATATTTACACTCTTTGTTTTTCTCTTCTGAATGAAAAGACAATATTTCAATTCTAATATTGAATATGCAATGAACATAGGCCTCACATTCAGGCTTCTGAATGCTAAATTATCCCCAATGATGTAAAATGAATAATAAGCCAAAGGGATCATTTAAAATAAGACCTTTTGGAGAAGGGCCATCCACATGGAGGGTATATCCATGACAGGAAATAACAGGTCAAGGTTTGTGCCTATTTCTCAAGTTTTGGACTTAACTCAGATATATACCAAAAGAACTAGAATGGCAACTGCAGAGGGGACCAAAAATTCCCGTCTGCTCAATCTCTACCTGGTTTTCTTAATAATATCCATTATTAAATATCAAACACATAAACCATACCTGCCTAATAAATGGAATACAAATATGTTTTCAAAAGTAATGGGAACTTTTTGATGACAACACATCCCTAAGTTAGGCAAAAATAATTTTAATCATGATGTAACTCAGTGACTCTTTAATTTAGCCTCTTTTGTGCTTAAGTAACTTCTTATGAGCAAAGTGCTCAGGAAAAATTAATGGTTTAAGTCACATGAGCAGTTCTGCTACCCAATGGACAATGAGTAATGGATCTCACTATTTTATTTAATCCCAAAGCTCTGACATAGAAAGTGCTGTCTGTGGAGGCTTGAACATATATGTTTATGTATAATTTATATAATCACATCTCTAATCACATGTATTTAAATACATTTAGTAGTTTATGTTAATTCTATGGCTACTAGTTAGAGCCAATACAAATTTTCATTAATAAATTATTGCAAAACTGGAAGTAAATGAATTCCTTAGCAGCTTTGAAATTCTTATACTATTATGAAATGATGATGACGATGATGGTTAGTTGGAGAAAAATGCATACGGGTTCTTCTAATCCAGAACAACTAAGCCCCTTTCCTTACATAGCTTCTTAAAGCAAGCTTACTTACCCTTGAGTTTGGTACAGAAAGCATGTCATTGGTGAAAAACAGGCACAAGAACATAAAGGCATATAATAGAAAGTGTGATTTGTTTTAAACTAGTGACATCACTACATACAGTGATATATGATATATATATATAAATATATATGTATGTGTACACACACACACAGAGAGAGAGAGAGAGAGAGAGAGAGAGAGAGAGAGAATCTGAAGTCTCCCTAATTAGCCTGGTTCCACATTTTATTTCATGGGGATTTAGTCTCAGTTAACTAATATTTTCTGTTAACTGACCCAGCCTTCAAAAAATAACTGATGGTATGGGAAATGTAGAATACTTTGCTTCCCCAAATGATGCTTACACAGGTGTTTCCAGCCTACCTGTACAAGTAAAGCCATCGCCTGTGTATCCTTCCTTGCAGAGACAGCGGTAAGATCCCATGGTATTCTTGCAGTCTGCATGCTGGCTACACATGTGGGTTCCATTGGAGCATTCATCCAGATCTTAAGGAAAAAAAAAAATACATCATTATTAACAGAAAGTATGGCATTTAAAATCAATAGGACACAAATTAAATTTGACTTTACAAATGTATAATCTACGCAGCTCTCGATGAACAATCTCTATTATCTTCCAACTCACCAGTGCACTTAATGCCATCTCCAATCCACCCGGGACTGCAGCTACATTTGAAGCTTCCTGCTGTGTTGGTACATACAGCATGTCTGCCACAGTTGTGTGCTCCAATTTCACATTCATTGATGTCTGAAAAAATAACCAGAGGTTTAGAAAGAAGTTGAGCATAAATGTCATTTTGATCTTTAAAATAATTTAGGAATCAATATTTAAAAGCTGGCTTGCCTTCACACTTCCCACAGTATAGTATAGATTGTTTTAGCATCCACATATAAACACTACATATATTGAATGGCTTTAAATTCCTTTTTTTAAATGACTTTAAATTTCAATTTATAAAAAAAGAACAATATGATGGTACTTGGTATCATTAACTCTAATTTTTTTCTATATTTTAATGTGTCTGGTCATTCCAAAGCAAAACTAACCTCTTTACAGCTGAATACCACAAAAAGTGAGTTGCTTAATGTCCTATGGTATTAATACTCATCGTCATTTGTTTTTATTACCAGCATTTTTATTTATTTATTTATTTATTTATTTATTGTTTTGAGTTGAAGTCTCACTCTGTCGCCCAGACTGGAGTGCAGTGGCCGCTCCCGGCCACCGCAGCCTCGACCTGCTGGGCTCTGGCGATCCTTCCGCCTCAGCCTTCCAAGTAGCCGGAATTACAGGCGCGCGCTACCACGCCCAGCTGATTTTTTGATTTATTGTAGAGATGAGGTCTCGCTGCCCAGGCGGGTCTCGAACCCGCGGGCTCAGGCAATCCACTCACCTCAGCCTCCCAAAGGCGCGGGATTACAGGTTGAGCCACCGAACCCGGCTATTACCAGCATTTTTAATAAGTCAACTATGGAGTACTGATGTACATTGTTTTAATATCTTGTATAGACAAAAAGACAATGTTGTTAGCATATTAGAAAACATACGAATTATAGCCTGTATATTGAATATATTTTATTCTTGAACTTAAATCACTGTGTTAGTAAATTATACTTTACTTCTTTTGGAGTCAGAGTCTCACTCCATCACCCAGGCTGGAGTGCAGTGGCACACTCACAGCCACCTCAGCATTGACCTGTTGGGTTCCGGCAATCCTTCTGCTTCAGTCTTCCAAGTAGCTACCATGCCTGGTTAACTTTTTGATTTGCTGTAGAGATGAGGTCTTGCCAGGTTGTCTGGGCTGGTCTCACACCCGCGGGCTCAGGCAATCCACTCATACCTCAGCCTCCCAAGGTGCTGGGATTACAGGCTGAGCCACCAAGCCCGGCCTATACTTCACTTCTATAGAAACTTTACTTTAGGTACTACTAATTCAAGTATTTGCAGAAAATGGTCCTATGGGCAGCATGTGAGCTAACTCTTCCCTAGCTTTTTAGAGATCATGGGTGAGTCAAATCTTCTTACACATTTCATGTAAAACTCAAGTCAATGAAGTGGGGATCTTGTCAGAATATAAGGAGTATCCAATTAGAATCACATTACTAAAACACTTCAAATTCTCCAAAATTTTCTATTCTCCAAAATTTCATTTCCAAATTTAGCCAAGATAAACTATATAACATAAAAGTATTACAGAAAAGAATATAAAGTATGAAGTGAAATATGCTTTGTTTTCTGAAATTAACCCAAACACATTGGGTTACCCTGACAATCAACTTTGTCATCAGTTAAGAACAAGAACTCATAGACAGGATAATAATGACTCTATAGAGAAACCAATGCCTGACACAAAATTTAGGTCAAGAAGGACAATTTTGACATACAAAATTTGAAAGAATTTCCAGTGATCACTTGAATAGTGGCATGTTTGCCCTTTTATTTACTTAAGAAGTCCAATTAAATGATTTGAAAGAATTTGTAAACATGCTGTTTGGCAAGTGTTCCATTTGAACTCTGAAATGGTTCTGGGATCTTTGGCTTCTTCATACTTCTACAGCAAACACAAAATAAAATAATGACAGAAGAATGTCCTTACAATTATGACATATTGTATAGGTGGATTTTAATGTGACCTTGGCAGCCACATGAACCTATTGAGTTATTGTGGCAGGTCAAGGGAGGCACATAGCTTTAGACTTGTGACTGGGAGCTTTATCCAACTGGATAATTGAGCATGGCACATTCCAAGAAAATGAGGAGGAAGGCCAACCCAGGGACAACAGGGATAAGTAGGGATGAGAATGCAAGAATATAAGCCCTCCCATACCTAACCTAATAGACCTCCCAAAACTTGCACAGGTGTTCCCAAGCAGGGTCACTGACAGCTCTTTCTTCCTCAGATAATCTCTCCCCTCAGAGGTAATGATACAAACCATCACTTTTGTAGAATCCTGCCTCAATTTCTCTCCCTTATTTGTCATAATCTCTGGCAAATCATCTTAGGTGGATACAATGAGGTTCAATTCGTAAGTATCAGAACCTACAGATATTACAGAGTCAAGGAATTTTTTATAAGTGAAAAGAACTCAGAATTCCAGTTTCTCAGAGGACACAGAGGTTGGGCCCCACAGTCAATGAGATGTAAAGCTGGGACTACCTAGAACTCAGTTTCCCCATCTGCTAGTTTGTTCTTTTCCCCTTGGGCCATAGCTGCCTAACTGAGCTCCTTTCTTTAGTCATTTCAGGATTTTATTCTAAGTCATGCTTTACAGAGTTCTCAAAATACTGGTGAATATCAGCAGACATAAAGAAACATTCACTAATCTCTACTACTAAGCCCAATTTTTATAGATGATCACAACTTATCAGTCTAGTAATTCTGTAATCTTTTTCTTTCCAATTTTCTAATGACCAAAGAGACCCTTATTTCCATATGGCTTTTACCTTTCATATTTAATCTTGGAATTTAAAAATTACCATTTATTTTAAGAGGCAAGTCTTCCTCCTTTTAAAAAATCATTAATGATATGCTAATATAAATTTCTAACTCAATGTTTTCAATTTTATTGCAATGCATTCAAGATGAAAAGAAATTATTTTGTAAAAGGCTCTGTATCATGGGCTTTGGGGTAATAGGGAGGGCAACTCAGAAGCCATTTTGTGAATATTTGAATATACAAATATTCACAAAATGGAGAAATAATGGCAATTAATTCTCCATTTTGTGAATATTTGTATAAGTCATTATCTCAATGCTTTATAGTCTCAGTATGTAACAAATGAATTAGAAAGACTTAACATGGTCATAGAGCGTAAAGGAATTTCTGCATAAAAAGTTTTTGCATGTGAATAAACGTGCATGCATGCACCAACTATTATTCATTAATCGTTTCCATGGCAGACTTTGGCCTAGGACTATAATTCATTATAAAAGCAAACAGAAGGGGAAACTGAGCCATAAGGAAAACAAGCAAACAAAAACGCTGCATTGAAACACTCTTCAATAATGTGAAGGAAACATAGTACATGCTTGCCAAGAACATCTCTTTCTGTACAAATGTTCTCTTTCCCCCACAAGTCTGCTCCAGACAGAAAATTCTTTTTTAAGATTAAGAACAGGCATAAGCCAAGAAAAGCAAAGAAATTCAAATTTAAAGCTGACACTGCAACCTCCTTAACCCCACCAAACCTCCCTCACAAAGACTCAAAGGTTCTCATGCATGGCTCTTTTGAAGGGCAAGGGTGTGGTCTTCTGAGCAGGCCCCATTCATAGACCCTGGGTATGTCCCATACAAGTCTGTCATTCAAATACAGGCGTGTGCTCTGAGTTGCTCTGACCTCCTCTTGCAGTTATGTAGGGAGAGGCTGTATTACACACAAACACCTGTCTTCCCCGCCATGTGGGCATCTGTCACATGGATTCTCATCCAGCAGAGCTGGCACACTTCAGAAACTCCTTGATTAGGCATAGAGGAAGAGGGCGTTGCCATGAATGGAGAGGCCAAACGTGAAGGCTACTTGGATTTCTTAATTTGCATCCAAATTTGAGCCAAGACTATTAACTGAACACCCATGGAGTTTTCACAGGCTGACAGCCAGTGGAAGAGAATTAGCGCTGATAAGAAACTAAAAGGAAATGAACACAAATTCTCATTGACTGCTAGTGGTTGAAGTACAGGATTCTCTCCCATAGACCAAGATCCACCACAAATATTTCTCATGTGAAAGGAACTGGCTAGTATGAAAAATGGAATTACCCAAAAATGCTGCTATTCTCGCTAAAAAGAAGTCTGATTTTATCCCACTTAATGGTATGCTTTATTTACTACACATGAGCACATCGTGGGAGGTAGGATCTTACAAACTAGCTTGTTAAAGCCAGGACCCATCAAAAATGACTTCTGGCAGAGACCTAGTTTCTCTTCTTCCAATTTTTTGTCTAGCTACAATTATGTAGAAGGAGCAGAAGCCTTACATTGAGTCACAGAAAAATTGTAATCTAGCCCACTTAAGTCAAGAATTGAAGAGCTGTGTTCTAGGTTTCAAACAAATGTACATTCTCTCTCCATTAAATGGAACATTCCCTTCATCAATACCCACAATTTGGACAAAGCTTATGGAATAGAAAAAACTCTTAGCATCTGTGTGGGCTGGGAATGTAAGTCAGTGGGTGGATTCTGAACATTGCTAAAATGACTGGAGGAAAAACATGTTTATTTGTTAAAATGGAAACAATCAGTAATGACAGGGAGCTGAAATATTTAGACAAAACTGTAATGGCGCCCAGAGGACTTTTTTTTAGTTTTCATGAAACAAAGATCCTCCTTATAAAATAGCATACATATTTTAATAATTCTTTTATTGAGAATTCATTTTTTAAAAATCTAGCTAGATAATTAAGTAGTTCTATTTCTTTTGTCTGTTATAAAAAAACAGTTCTAGGTCTGCTCTTGCTGTTATTTGTTGTGCGGCCTACTAATCAAATTAGGCAAGATATATCTCTATTCACATTAGTTGTCTGGAACATTATAAAAATTTATCTTTAATATGACCATCACCAAGGTAACTTGATGGTATTCTAAGCTGTGAATGACACTAATTTTAAAATAAAAGTAGTCTAAAAGAGTCCTAGTAACAGAACTTAAAAAACATTTTGGGCATTTAAAAAAAAATTTTTTTTCTGAGTTGGAGTCTCACTCTGTTGCCCAGGCTGGAGTGCAGTGGCACGATTATAGCCACCCCAGCGTTGGCCTGCTGGGCTCAGGCAGTCCTTCTGCCTCAGCCTTCCAAGTAGCCAGAACTACAGGCATGTGCTACCAGGCCCGGCTAATTTTTTTATTTATTGTAGAGATGAGGTCTCACCAAGTTGCCCAGGCTGTTCCTGAACCCGTGGGCTCAGGTAATCCTCTCACCTCGGCGGCCCCCAAAGTGCTAAGATTACAGGTTTGAGCCTTTGTGCCCAGTCAAAACTTGTTTTTTAAGTATACCAAGTTTTCTGCTTGTTTAATACATTTCCAATAAGACATAGCAAATCAAGGGCATCTTGGTTGTAACAACAGTATTTACAGAGGATTACTTTTTTTTCTATCTCTAATGCAGTCCCTCCTTGTATAGGTCTAGGGCTATATTACTTACCCAAGGGGAATATCTGATTAATTACAGAGTACCCTGGTGGTTTGTTCAAGACCATGAGTCAGTGGAAGACCTAGGGATACAATTCTGGCATTATTCCTTCAGATGACAATATCACATGCCGTGCTGCTATGGTACCAAAGAGGCATGAAACTGAACTCTTCTTCCTACAGTGCTAGCTGGATTTTATCAATGTGAAAAATTGTTTTAGGTTGCAATTTAAAAGAATGGGGGAAATACTGGCCCTTGGGAAAGGATTGAGTGTTTCTTTGACTTCAAATCTATGTTTCTGTTCATGTGACTTATTAAAAGGCAACTGTTAAGTCGGGCTCAGTGGCTCAGCCTGTAATCCCGCGCCTTTGGGAGGCTGAGGTGAGTGGATTGCCTGAGCCCACGGGTTCGAGACCCGCCTGGGCAGCGAGACCTCATCTCTACAATAGATCAAAAAATCAGCCGGGTGTGGTAGCGTATGCCTGTAATTCCGGCTACTTGGAAGGCTGAGGTGGAAGGATCGCCGGATCCCAGCAGGTCGAGGCTGCGGTGGCTGGGAGCGGCCACTGCACTCCAGTCTGGGTGACAGAGTGAGACTCTAACTCAAAAAAAAAAAAAAAGGCAACTGTTCTTAATGTAAAACTGGTATCATCTCATCTAACAGGTAGTGCACAGTTCTTGTCACCACAGTCTTAGAATCTGTTCAAGTTCAATTATGAATGACAAGCCTTCTGATACACAGAGTAAGATTTTCCTGAAATTGATTTCAAGAATGTATCAGTAAACAGCAGTAAAGTTTTTTTGCTAGACTAGAAATGATATCTTTCATTAAAATGGCCTCTAGATACTGTATCCGTTGTCTCATTTAAAATGACAGTAGCTTTTATTTATTGACCAGCACTGTGACAAGGGTGTTATATATATCTCATTTACCTTAAATCATATGGATATGGCATGAAATTTTAAGCTTTCTTTATAGTAAGAGGCCTAAAATAATCAGCCACTGCGCATGCCCCATTTAGCTGGAATTTGGAGCATGGAATTCTAGAGACCCTTTTTCTTATAGAGAATGAAGACTGTTCCATGAGATTAACTTCTCCTTTCATAAGCATCACTGCCTCTGTGTTGAATTTCAGTGAGCTTGGCTTAGCCAAACAATGGTATAATCCTCTATTAGGTAAAACACAATATGGAACTATCCTACCTTCTTCATTACTGCCAGGCCACCATTCCTTACCAAGTCCTATATTTATACTGGAAGCTTGAAATAAAGGTTGGAACACAGACATACAAAGCTAAGTCCCTTCTGTACCCAAGAGGACACACGGGGACCTGAGAATTTAAACACTGTGCCATTTATTAGAATGAACCTGGCTTTTTTGTGGAGAGTAACGCAGTAAGCATGAAAATATTCTAGCTTCATGCTTCCTTTCATAATATGGCTAGGATCTGTCATTTCTGACTCAACAGCAATATTACTGCCCTTATCCTATGTATCAATAAATCTGAAACTTAGTATTATTGGCCAGTTTGAAACAATTATAAATGTTTTTGTGTTTTCTTGAAATATGCTGATATCACTAAGAGGCGATTTTGTATATTTGCCACATTGTCAATCTGCAAATAATTTAATGTTTGTTTTAAGTCATTACAAGGGCTTGCCAAATTGCCTTTTGGAATTAAAGTCTGTTATTTGCAAAGAAATTATAGAGTTACCTAATTCAAGTTCACTGCGGTCTCCACTATGTTTTAAATTATGTTAGATGCCATAATCTATTACATGAATACAGGTAACTATAATAAAACTCTATTATATCATTCCATGTGCTTGATATCACTGCCTCATATTTGAAAACACCAACTTAAACACTGACAAACTAAATACAATGTCATTATCACAGAGTAAATTCTTTCACTTGGCATAAAATAAGATCGTCTCTTTCAAATATCATGGAAAGGTTTTCCCATGTGCTATTGGTATCAGAGAAACAAAATTGCAAATGGTTCAATGATCACCTCATAAGATTTGCTAAGTCCCATAAATAAAGACTTATTTGACTAAAGCAACTTCCACATCAAAAGCACTCTAAGTTGTGCGTGGTAGCTCATGTCTGTAATCCCAGCACTTTGGGATGTGGAGGCGAGAGGATTGCCTGAGCCCAGAGGTTCAAGGCCAGTCTGGGCAACTTGGCAAGACCTCATCTCTACAGTAAATAAAAAAATTGGTCAGGCTTGGTGGTGTGCACCTGTAATTCCAGCTACTTGGAAGGCTGAGGTGGAAAAATTGCTAAGTCCAGCAGGTCAAGGCTGCAGTGGTCATGAGTGTGCCACTTCCCTCCAGCCTGTGCGACAGAGTGAGACTCTGACTTAAAAAAAAAAGCACTCTAATTTAAGAAACTAGAAGACAGGAGAGATACTAATGAAATGTATTAATTGTAGAATAAGTTCCTTTAAATGAAAATCCCAGTTATAAAACCTTAAATGAAGTATTGGCAAAGGAAGTTATTGAAAGAATATGAATTTTTTATAACTGACATGTTCACTACTTTAATATTAAAACGTGATCTTAACCTCACAAAAGTATATTATGTAATACTATCAAGTGTTAATTTATTCAATACACCTTTTTTTCACAGATAAAGAAAAAACTTTACCTTAGGTCCAATATAAACTAAGAAAAATTTCAAAGAAGGGGAAACCAAGTTAATGAAAGCTGCTATGCAAAATGCTTTATAATGCAGTTAAAATGCTAGTAATTTTAAAACACATATTAATCTATAATTATGACACCAGTCTCTTAGCCACTTAATAGTTTATTTATTATTCACTTTAAAAAAACACACCTGTGCAGCCCGTTTTTCCTTTTTTACCGGAATAGCCCATATCACAGTGACAGATAAATGAGCCTTTAGTGTTTTCACAGGTTCCACTTAGGCAGATGTTTGGATTTAAGTCACATTCATTGACATCTGTAAAACACAGATATTATTAATGCACATAACTATCTGACAACATGCTTATTTTACCCTGAGATAAAATAACTATGACAAATAAATTAGAAAAGGTAAACTGCTTTCATCCAGAAAAAAATGTTGTATTTAAGAAGGCCAATTCACATTTGCACTCTATATTGCAGGCTAATCGTGCAGACTGGCTTTTCTCTGACCTACAAGCAGTAGATCAGGGAATCAAACTGGCTGACTCCAGGCTGAGTCTAAAGCTTATTTATGTGACAATCTAGAAAATTTTGAAAGCAGTATACTCTATCACAGTATGAAAATTTAATTCAGTCTGCATAATACTAACAATATAGTTTCCACATTTAAAAGAACAAATAGATAAACTAGTAGTCTTAGTGCAAGTTGTTACAAATTTTGCTTCTTTCCCAAATTAAAAATTATTTTTATGACATTCATTTTAATTTCTAGGACTTCACAAATGTTCAATAAAGGTTTCAGAAGATAAATGTGATAAAAACTTAAATATCAATTCTAGACTCTTGCTTCTGACCAAGATAGAATAATGGGGATTGAAATTACCTTCCCAAACAAAGCAGGAAGTATCACACTTCCAGACTTCAAACTTTACTATAAGGCTACAATAATCAAAACAGTCTGGTATTAGTACAAGAATAGGCATATGGACCAATGGAACAGGATAGAGATTCCAGAAGCAAAACCTCAATTTCTCAACCAATTCAAATTTGACAAAGCTTCCACCAACAACCACTGGGGAGAGGAGAACCTATTCAGTAAATGGTGCTGGGAAAACTGGCTGATCACATGCAGAAGATTGAAACAGGACTCCTACCTATCACCCATATACAAAATTAACTCTAAATGGATCAAAGACCAAAACATAAAACTGCAAACTATAAGAATTTCCGATGGAAATTGGAACTGGCAACCAATTCCTGATCAAAACACCAAGTGCCCATGCCATGAGAGATAAGATAGACAAGTGGGACCTCATCAAACTGAAAAGCTTCTGCAAAGTCATAGAAACCATCAAGAGAGTGAGAAGACAGTCCACAGAATGGGAAAAAATATTTGCCAGCTGTATATCTGACAAAGACCTAAATCCAGGATCTATAAGGAACTCAAACGCACTGAAAGGAAAAAAACAAACAGCCCCATTATAAAGTGGGCAAAAGACACAAATAGACACTTCTCAAAAGAAGCTATACAGGCAGCCAACAGACACACGAAAAAGTGCTCAGCCTAAATAATCATCAGAGAAATGCAAGTCAAAACCACATTGAGATGCCACCTAACTTCAGTAAGAATGGCCATCATTAATAAAACAAACAACACCAGATGCTGGTGAGGGTACAGAGAGAAAGGAATGTTTCTACACTGCTGGTGGGAATGCAAACTAGTACAACCTCTTTGGAAAATAGTGTGGTGATTTCTAAAAGAACTAGACATTGACCTTCCATATGACCCAGCAATCCCCCTACTGGAAATATACCCAGAGGAACTCAAATCATTCTACAAAAAGGATACCTGCACTTGCATCTTTATTGCAGCACTATTTGCTATAGCAAAAACATGGAAACAACCACGCAGCCCATCAAAACCAGACTGGATAAAAATATATGGTACATATACACAATGGAATATTACACAGCCATAAAGAAGGACAAACTTATGAACTTACAGAACTTGGATGGATTTAGTCTGTCATACTCAGTGATCTATCACAGAAATAAAGAACAGAGTATCACATGTTCTCACTCATAAGTGGACTCTGAACAATGATGATAATATTATAAGAAAGGGATTGGTAGTAGCAGGATATTGCCAGGGTGAGGGTGAGGGGAGGATGCCACATCAATAAGGATACCTGATTTCAAATCAGTCAAAGTGGGGACCAAAGAGAGGCCCAAATTTTACCTGTATGATGACCATTTGTATACCTGATCCTGAATAGTATCCCACATTGTTAAAATAAACAACAGCAATGACAAAAAAGAAATTACCTTCTCACCTATACCACCCAAAAACATGAACAATAGATATTAAAAAATAGTTTCTAGACACTGAACATTAGACAACAGAAGACAATTATCACAGAGAGAAAGGAAACAAACTAGGTGAGTTCTACATTGCTCCAGATGACAGGAAGCTTTAAGTCCATGGCATAAAGAGAGAATGCCAGGAAGAACCAGAGAATGTCCCTGAGTTGAGAAGAGGAATGTGGAAGTCTTGGAAGACCATGGGAGCTAGAGGTCATAGGGCAGAGTAAAGGATAGAAGAGAGTTATGTAGAGAGGGAGCTTCAGCGATCTGCTAAAATGTGCTCTTCAGGTATTCAGATGAGTAGTGCTCAGCACATTCGTCTGAGGAAATAGACTGTTTGAGACTGTGGAAAGTATTATCTAAAAGAATTAGAGAGAACAATCCTCAGAGTTCACAGAAGGCCTGGAATTGTGCCTGTTCCCACCAGCCAGACTAAAAAAACCTCATAATTCACAGGCAATTATATAGAATATCCAGAAAGGTCTTGCTCAGTAGTGGAGCAAAATTAGTTCTTAGGACTAATGCTGCTTAAAAGCTTAAAAGCAGGATTTTGAAAGGGATCAATCTGTTTCCAGGAAATTTAACTGTATTCTAGAACAAAGCTCAAAAACGTTCCTAAGAATACAAAAATATCCAGCACCTAGTAATGCAAAATTTACAATGTTGGAAATCCAATACAGAATTACCAGGTATTCAATGAAGCAGGAAAATATGACTTATAAAGGGAAAGAAAGTCAAGTTATTGAAATGACCCAGAACTTGGTGGTTCCATGGTTAGCACTTCAGACTCTGAAATGACCCAGAACTGACATAGATGATAGAATTGGTAGACAAGGACACTAAAACAGTTATTATAACTGTATTATAACTGTATAACAGTTATTATAACTGTATTATAACTGTGTTAAAGGTAGAGGAATGATTGTACTTATTAAGTACAGAAACAGAAGATAAGAAAAAAGACCCCAAATCAGACTTTTAGAGATGAAAACTGCAACATCTAAGATGAAAAAGACACTGGATGAGATGAAAGGCAGAGCAAATATTTGCAGAAGAAAAGTTTTAAAAATTTGAAGGCATAGCAATGGTCCAAGACAAATATGATCAATTTAGAGTGAGGACCTGTCATTCTTGTCAGAGATGAATGTTGCTTGCCTTTCGTCAAGCATTTTAAAAGCCTAAACTCTAGTCACAGCACAAAGAGAGTTACATGGACAGAAATAATGGATCAACATAAAAGAAATATCCATCTGGAGTTGACTGATGGTCAGGTCAGTTCACACAAAATATGTGACAAGAGCACCAGATCACAGTCACAAGAAAGGTGCTGTTTGCAATGCTGGTTTTAAAATATGAGTACGATGTCCCTAGATAGCCTTACTTTTCCCATGGAATCTGCTTATCAACTACCAAACTAACCTTTATGTCATTTAACAATACTTGTGAATAACCAGACAAGATGGAAAATACTGTCTTCTTTGCTTACCTACACAAGTCTTCATGTCTTCAGATGCCATAAATCCATCATAACACAAGCACCTGTACTCGCCAGGTATATTTGTACACTGACCACCATCACAGATATTGGGATTATCTTCACACTCGTCGATGTCTGCAAAGAATAAAATCAACAACCACATGTTTTTGATACTGGTTCTATTATTCTAATGAGCAAACATTAACTGACTCAAATCAAATAAACTCTGCCTACTAGCATAAGACTATTAACTCTCACATACAAATGAGTCTTTGCATTAATTATCTCATCAGATTGTCCTGGGTGAAAAAAAAGAGCATCATTTTCAAGATTCACAATACACTGTTGAAGGACAAGTCCACGCCCACTTAAAAATCTATCATTTAATTTAAAATGTTCTTTCTTGTTGAATTTATCATTCAAGAATAATTATGAATCTTAGTGTTATGTCAAATTATACATGTCTAAAGTCTATAATCTTGTTTTATTGATATTTTAGGTGAAAACTGCTTGAAATTAGCATATCTACTTAGATGCACTTTTAGTAAAAATCCTCATTTTCAACAATTAACATTTACAGCCAAATTTATATCTAGAGATTTTAGGAAAATTTTTCTAGGTCAGACAGAATAATTATGGTTCCTAAACCCAAATTCTTTTCTTAATCCAAGCCAAATTCAAAACTATACTATCCACTTTGTCATCTCTAGGTGGCTACATAGCTCTTCTAGCCCAGGGTGATACAATAGGAAGCATAAATTAGATCAGTGGTCCTCAAACTTTAGCATGCATCTGAATCTTCTGGCGAGTTTGTGAAAATACTCATTACAGGATCCATCCTAGTTACTTCTGATTCAGTAGATGGGGCCTGAGATTTGGCATTTTCAACAAGTTCTCAAGTGATGCTATTGAGGCTGGTTCAAGGAATATACCTGGAGTAGCACTGAATTTGGCCAAAAATTTAAACTCTTCAAAATTCTGATGAATAAAGAAAAATATATTTTATATTCTCTATGTACCAGGTACTATGCTAAGTTCTGTAAATACTCTTTCACTCTCAGTGAAATCTGAACTCCATTTTATAGATAAGGATTCTAATAATAAATATCTTGATCAAGGATTTGAAACCAAGACTGTCTGACTCCAAAGCCTGGGCCCTGAACCACTTTACTTAGGAAGCTGTTATTGAGAGAACTCAACGTGAAGCTAAAACCAACTCACCAGTACATGATCTCTGGTCGGGCATCAGTGCGAATCCTGGCTGACAGCTACATTCATAGCTACCTTCAGAGTTTGTGCAGAAGGTTTCACAACCACCGTTCATTATGCTGCATTCATCAATATCTAAGAGAAGTGAAAATAACATTACTTTCTGGTATGGTTTGAATGTTTATTCCCTCTGAAACCCATCTTGAAATTTAATTGCCTGTATTAAGAAGTGGGACCTTTAAGAGGCAATCAGGCCATGAGGCCTCATGGGTGGGATTGGTGTCATTATGAAAGGGTGAGTTCAGCCCCCTTTTGCTCTCTTTTGCCCTCTTGCCTTGCACCAAAGGATAATGCAGCAAGAAGGCCATGAAAGAGTTAGTACCTTGATGTAAGATTTCCCAGCCTACCAAAATGTGGGCCAACACATTTCTGTTCATTATGAATAATCCAGTTTCAGGTATTCTGTTATGGCATCACAAAAATAGGCTAAGATACCCTTCTTTGTATTTATGAGCATGGCACATCTTTCAAGTTTCCATGCATAGGTCAAGTAAGGGGCGGGGGGGAAGCATCCTAGAGCAACTGAAAGTCACCTTGTGATTTCTTCAACAGATATTAACTACACACCTACCAGGTGCTAGAGATGAGAATCTAACAGTGAAGTAGATAGACACTATCCCTGCCTTCATACTAATCACATTGCAGCCGGGAGGCAGATGACCAATTAACTGCACAATGCATGACATGCCATTTGCAATGCAGAAGTACTGAGTGCTAGGAGAACACATTCCAGTTATGGTAATGGACATAACTGGTGGAGTTCTCTTGGTAATAGATTCAGTTATAAACTTGAAATTCTGTTTGATTGGCTGAGACTCCAATCCTCTTCAAGGACCTGGAGTTCTGAATTGTCCTGGGCCATGTTTCAGAAGAATTTGGTCTGATTTATGGTTTTGGGTGGAAACCATGTGAGACTTGGCAGTTCCACATGGTGTACACCCCAAACCCGGCAAAAACTGGCAGTTTCTACAAAATTTCACTTTGACTTCAGGCACAATAAAGCCACAGGGCTTTCTGTGCCACTCTTCACAGCATGACTAAACCTACAGAGGGCCAACCACAAAGCAAAATGCTTGTCCCACAAAAACCCATCTTTAAGGAGTGCCAAGGGTGGCCTCTATTTCAATGTAAGGTATGAGCATTCCACTGTTTTCTTTCCAATAGTTATTCTTTGAAATCTCGGAAGCTGAGTTAAACCATCTAAAGGCAGAGATTTCACCCTGCGCTTTTTTAATCTTTTCCACAGCGCTCACCATGTTTATTTTATTTCAGGTGTTTAGTTATCACTTGCTGATTTGCCTCGGTATGCCTGTGCATAAGTAAAGCATATGCTACTGCCCTCTACTCAAAACAGCAGGGGCTAAATTATACTTATTAGAGTGAAAACATTCTCTATCCTTCATCTAAATGGTTCTTTAAATAGTTAAGGGAGGTAAGATCCAAAGATTGTGAGCCACTATAAAACAATTTTACAGGGAAATAAGAACAACTAAGTAATAGTAACTAGTGATGAAAACAGACCTCAGAGTGCTTTGCTTGAGTGTTTTAGAAAAAGACAAAATAAAATAAAAAATAGAACTTACCAACGCAAAACAGCCTATCAGGAGTTGAATGGTAGCCAGGGTTGCAGGCACACTGATATTTCCCTATGAGGTTCACACAACGGCCATTGGGGCAGAGGTTTGCACTCAGTTCACACTCATTGATGTCTGTTGAGAAAATAAGAAGAGCAAACACACAAACATAAGCTTCTCACTCTGACACAGATGTGGGTCAAATGACTGACCAACATGCAAGTGGTGTGAAAGCCTTCTTCCTTACCAATACACGCAGAGATGTTGGGGGACAGTTGATGACCAGGTGGGCATTCACAGCGGTAACTTCCTTCTGTGTTTAGGCAAACACCTCCTCGGCAAAGGAGAGGATCTCTCTGACACTCATCGATATCTGCAAAATGGACATGACCATGTTGGAGATGGTGACGGCCTGATCCCCTCTACGAGGCCAGCACTCACTCACTCTAGTTGCATGGTGACCTGGCAACTAAGGGCTCACAGGATCCCTTCTTGGAAAATTGCCATCCACCGCACTCAGAAACAACCAGGAGGTGAGAGATTACACCCTTCTCCCATGCTGGGGAACACTCATGGCCAATAATGTAAATGATCTAATAGGGAATATAAAACCTTGACCTTCTTCTTGTCTCAAGGTGTGACAACTCTTTGGTGCCATTCAGATTCCAGAGTTCCCTATGAGATCAGACTAAGGCTAAAATGCAGCCAAACTCTTGGCTTATCTTCTTCCCCTGCACTATCCTGCTTCCCTCACTTCTTGACAGGCTCCTCCTGAGAGCATTCCCTCAATTAAAAAAAAAAAAATCACTGTTGCAAGAATCTCCATTACAGACTTTGTTTCCCTAATACAACCACTTTAATCAATCTCCTTTTCTGGAAATGTTGGACAGAAACCCCTCTAGTGGGACCTCTACTATAGCTTCTGTTTATTGCTCTCTCTTCCCCGGGTGTCTACTACAGGTATTAAACTCACTTCTCAAGGACCCACAGCTACTCTCCAAGGTCACTCCACAGCATGAGTCCCTCATTTGTACTGCATGTCAGTCTCCCTCTGCTGCAGACTGATTCCTAACTCACTGGTCAGGAGACCAATGTACTGGAAGAAACTGGGACATAGGCTACGAGTCATCAAAGCTTCATGCAAGCCTGTTCTTCCTGTGGTAATCAAATGACTACAAACTTACCCATACAGTTCTTCATCATCATGAATCCACTTTCATAGCCTTCATCACACTTGCATTCAAAGTCCCCCGGGGTGTTCACACACTGGCCTCGGCCACAGAGGTCAGGAGATATGCGGCATTCATCAATGTCTGCACAAAAACAGTGAGCAGCAACATGTGAGCAACAGGACAGCCTTAGTTTTTGCAGTAGCACGTTTAAGATGAAGGACTTTTTTTTTTTGGTGAGAAAGCAGGATTTATTGAGAGGACAGAAAAGCTCCCACAGTGGGAGGGGACCTGAAGGAATCGCCCAAGATGAAGGGCTTTAAAGGCTGCCCCCGCTCCTTTTCCTTGAGGTCCATTCACTGACCTGTGCAGTTCCTTTCTTCAGAATCAAGAGCAAAGCCACTGTCACACCTGCACTTAAAGCTGCCGATGGTATTCCTGCACTTCCCATGGGTGCAGAGGCTGGGGATCATCTTGCACTCATTGATATCTTCAAGAAAAATTAAAAGTGGGGAAAAAAGAGTTTATGAGTAACTAGTTAGGAGGTTTCAGGGCCCACCATTTTAAACTCAGAAGATAGGAACATCTTAGTTCTTGGCAATACTCATTCCAAAGAATGTGTGATCCATGAGAAATAAGACTTTATAAGCATCTCTAACCTTTTAAACTTCTGTATTTTAGAAAGCATCATTAAAGAAGCAAAAAATGTGTTTATTTGGATTTCCGAGGCCCAGCACACTACCTGATACATAGTGAATGCTTAATCACTATTTGCAGAATGAATAAATAAAATATTCTAAACCACTAGTGTCTAAACTTTTCTACACAAAGATAGTTATATGCTGAGATGATTGAGTAGAGTCCAGGGATCATGAAAATACACTCCATTAGTCTAAAAAGAAAAGCTATCATCCATTGATAACATAACAGCATACCTTTGAAGAAAGGTTTTCCATTTGTGATTTCTTTTGTGGCAAATCCAGGTCCTCTGGGACAGAGCTCCTCATACTCAGGAGTATTTCTCATAGGACACTCCTCACATTCCTCAGTACCCCAGGCTGCCCCGACGGAGCAGCAGCAGGCGTCCATGCGGTGGCGTCCAGCAACAGGCAGGGTGCACTCCTCATCATCATACCGCAGGAAGCAGTTTTCCAGACGGATATCTATCAGAAGGAAACCCGGAGGTTAAGGAGAGCTACTCTGTTTTCATGCGCTAAATAGCCAATGCTTTGTTAGACAAAGTACAGCACACATAATAATTTGCTATGTACTTACTGACTGGAATTAATTATTTTCAAAAAAAAAACTGAAACCAAAACCCAGGCTTTGTGGTAGATATTCCTCCCTAATAAAGACTCTCTTTTCTTTGTCAGCCCATGTTTGCTCCTGCTAATTTTGAAAATTTTCCCTTCAACTTTAGGCATCTTCTGATAATTCTGCAGTATTCTGAGAGACTCCACAATGCTCTTTTGGGAGATGTGTTTTCTCCTGTATAGACAGGTCTATCCCTGATACATGTACTCCATGATGTTTTGGTATATCACCTCTACAGCAAAAAGCAAACTGAACTCTTTACTGTTGGAACATGCCTGCACAGATCTATCACCTTTTCCTCAGACCCACTTCATTTCTGGAAAGATGGAATGTTGAACTTCAGAATGAGGACTGCCCTACTTGAGATTAAAGAAGAAAAATAGCAAAGAAAAGCCATTCACTCTTCTCAAATAATTCTTTCACCTCAACATGTGCTTATGCACACATTCTTCAGGATACACATGGGATACTTCTAGCCCCAACCTTAAAGTGTGGGAATTGTGAAGAGTAGTAGAAAGATAAATAGACCAGAGGTCTGAAGGCCCAGATTTTGGTTATGTTCTGGAACTAAGTTGCTTGTCTTTAATAAATTGTCACCTCTGAACCTGAATTTTTACATCTGTTAAATGATGTTGCACTCATCCACTTCTCAAGTGGTGTTGTGAAGCTCAAATGAGGTTATGGGCCTGAAAATTGTAAAGTATAATTAAAACATAAGACGTATCTTCTTTCTCTTTCTCCTTCACAACGTGATTATTAACAGTTTACTAAAGTGCCTGAACTTTTTCTAATATTAGAAAGCTGTAGAAACCTTCTGAGCAACTTTACCTTAAGGTTGCCTATATTAAGATGGATACTTTTAAAATGAATCCTAAATTAAACATAGAAGCAACTTTCAACTGAAGAATCTGGAAGAAGGTTCTCATTAAATACTGATTCTTCCTAAACAAAGAACTAAGACTCAGAATGGGATTAACTGACATCCTTAGTTACAAAACCTACCGAAGGCTCTGAATTCCTTCTATTCCATATTACTCACACTATAAACCATAAAGTTCTATATCGAAAGGTGTGTTAGTTATAATTTATAATTGATAAAAATCCCTTAACTGTATATCAATCTTTTTTTTTTTTGAGTTGGAGAGTCAGAGTCATACTCTGTCACCCAGGCTGGAGTATAGTAGCATGCTCACAGCCACTGCAGCCTCAACCTGCTGGTCTCAGGCGATCCTTCTGCCTCAGCCTTCCAAGTAGCTGGAACCACAGGCATGTGCCACCATGTCTGGCTAACTTTTTGATTTATTGTAGAGACGAGGTCTCACCATGTTGCTCAGGCTGGTCTTGAACCTCTGAGCTCAGGCAATCTTCTTAACTCTGCATCCCAAAGTACTGGGATTATAGGCTAGAGCCACCTCGCCTGGCCATAAATCACTCTTTTAACCATCTACAGTGGTCATCAATAAAGATGCTTTCAGGTTCTCAGTATGGCTGAGCATCATTTTCAGAGTCATGTATTCAGAAACCAGTGATCCAAGGGGACATATTCCAGGCAGGCAGAAGCCATAGTAGTAATGCCAGAATGACTGTGGGATTTCAAACTTGCTGCCACTAAAAACCCATAGGGACTTAGGACTTTGAGTTCTATGGACCTAGAGTTAGTTCTAGGCTCTGTGTTTAATCTCATTCACATCACTGGTATGGATGATTGAGCTTAAAGACCTCACCTGGGCTCTAGTGGTTGGCAAGGAGAACCCCAGTATGACTGGCAGGGACAATAGCCATGGGTTCCCACAGATTTACTCTTCAGGGCAATGGCATCTTTACTCCTGATACCCACAGGTGTTTTCTGCAAGGGCTTGTTTTTTGCAATCAATGGCAGGACATGCCTAGAAGACATGGGCTATAGTCTCTAACTACATGCAAGTGTTCACCTTGTATTTTATAGTCCATGGCATATATGAACAGATTTAAGAATTCTCTAAAAATCATTGTGATGGTAGTGAGTTAAGGAATGGCTATAAATTAACAAAGGACTAAAGTTTCTTCTCACTAACATGAATTGAGAACATGTTAGTGATAAAAACTAAAAGCTTGAGTTAGGAAAACTGTTTGTTAAGGAAACCACCATGGATCCTACTGGACATGCTGAATTTGAGGGTGTGTGCCTGTACTTGAAACCACATGTTCAGCTATATCTAGCTAACTGAGGTTTTAATAATCTTTAAGAAACTATTATAAGTAAAACAATGAGCCCAGTATTTACCAAGGCAGATTCTTCCTGTGGCATCCAGAGTCATTCCATTGGGACACTGACACTTGAATGATCCTCTAGTGTTAACACACAGGCCATTTTTGCATACTCCTGGGAATACTTCACATTCATCTATATCTAAAAAGAAAGAAAGAAAAATGAAGTTAATACATCTTTACAATATCATTCTACCTTATTCCACTCCTGGAATCATAATTAGTCTCCATTTTGAACTAAGTTTTCACAAAATTAGTTTGCCTCCAAATAGCGCATGTAGAATTTCTGGAAATGTCTGAATAGCAACCTGACTGAGCCCACCTATTGCCAAAGATATAAGAGTTTCTCGGGCAACCCCCTCAGGTCCCCTCCCACTGTGGGAGTTTTTCTGTCTTCTCAATAAATCCTACTTTCTCAAAAAAAAAGAGTTTCTCCATTAATCTCAGGGAATAACTTTAGAGTCGTAGAGACAGGGAGCTGGTGTGAGTTCCTGAGAACAGTTCTGGTAGCTCTGGACATCTCAGGTAAGGTTAGGGGCCATATAATTTGTTCTATGAGACCAGATGTCTGGAAATAAGTAGTGAAACAAAAACCTTTCAAACTAGCAAAGATAAAACAGCTTGAAGGCGAGCATAGGAAAAAATTCCACTGAGGAGTATATGGGTCAGTGAAGGGTCTCTTTCCAGAACTGCTGAGAAGTCATTAGAAAATGTATAACCAATTCCAACTCAGCAATGGTCTCAGCCTATTCAGTCAATGCCTCAGTGATCCCAGCTTGGGTTAAGAGTCAAAAGATGCTCATGTTCATTCATTCTTCATTTGCCCAATCTCTCTCAGATGTACCAGTTCTTCTCAGTTTGCTTAATGGGGAGCAGTATGTTCTCTGTGCTTAATTTGGGAAAACAGTCACCAACAGGTTAATCCAAAAAAAAGGCATCTAATTAGCAATTGCCAAAAGGGGGGAACATCAGTTAAGAAACTCATATACACTGTGTCTCTATTTAGAAGGAATAACTTTCCAAGCCAGGAATGTTGAAAAAATATTCTGAATCTTTCCTTTTAAAAGAGTTAAATGGGAAGGCAGTGGAATCTACCTTTTTGGGATTTCCTTTTTGTTATTGTCTGGCTACTTGTATAGCAAAATGCACTGCCGAGGTCAGATAAGTTATTAACAGCAGGTCTGGACCAGAAAAAGGCCAAAGAATTCAGTCATCGTTTGGAAAGCAAGACCTTGGGTGGGGGTTGTAGTGTGCTTCTTTGTTTCAGCAGAGGAAAAAAAACTTCATTTTATCCCACATATGGGACTAATTGCTGTTTTTAAAATTTTTCAGCTGCTGTGTCATGTCAGGTTGTGTTAGTCACCATGACCTATGTCTATCTGCAGCTCGGTAAGAAAGAATCATGGCAAACTGAAGAGAATACACATAGACTTTCAAAATATAGGGAATAGATTGAGTCTTTCTAAATCATCCATGACCATTAAAACAAACAAAAACCCATGTCAGACCAAAAGAAATGCAAATTTTATAGTTTCATCAAAAACTTCCTGTTTTTCTCTTCCTGATAATAGCATTTTGAACATGCAGTCACTCCAAACTACAGTCAGCTTAAAACATTTTCAGCCACTCTGTCCTTTGGCCACAGTGATCTGACACTGGCAATAGCATATATAAGCTTGTGAAATTAACATCTGTTCTGTTTTTCAGTTTCCATTATTTTTTTTCTCACACTGAAGTTACATGACAGCTTTATCCAGTCCAAGTTAACACAAGCATTTTTTTATGTACACAAAAACGTATGGTTTGTAAGTAATCAGAAATACCTTCACATTGTGTTCCTTTAATTCTTGAGTATCCTTTACCACATATGGGATCTGTAAAACACACACACACACACACACACACACACACACACACAACAACAAAAATAAATTAGAGATAACAATATCCAGACTTTGTAGTTATGACATCGTATATAAAATATGAAAGAGGACCTGGAATATGAATTAGACTTTGTTACTATGAATAAGTCTGATATAACAAAGTGTTTCTGAGATTACATTGGTAAGGAAGATTAATAATAAAATGTCTCCTCAAATAAAGTTCAATTCCTCTAAGATATCATAAAAGGCACAAAGGTGCCCTATAGATTATATTAAGGTAATAGCTGAGGGGGAAACTGTACATAAATTTCTTTCTTGCTATTAACCTGAAAATAGGAATCACACTATAGGATTCCTGTAATATGAATTTGGGAAATACAGTCTAGAATCTCATTAGAGATCTCATGCCCTGTAGCATTCACACTACATAAATTCACATACTTGTATATCCAAACATTAAGTGAGCAAAACCTTGAGCAAGGTTCTCAAACCTCACCTTCCAAACAGATTTAGTTTACTAGCAATCCTCATAAGGTTTAGTCATGGATACTGGCTTCTTTACCTTAATTAGCTTTTTGGAAAGAATTTACACCTGTAAAAACTCAGGACTTCTAGTCACAAGGTTCCCAAAGAAAACCAGTAGAAACTAATGCTCCAGAGAAGCAACATAAACTAACCACACTGCAATGTGGAGATAGCAATGAATAAATTAAGCAAATCACACAAAATTACTATTCTTGACACTTCTCTTATTACCCATTCAGCAACATATTTGAGGTCATCACAATTACATCTTCTAACATTCCCATGTGAACCTGAATATATGAAGTACTAGACTTCCCCTTTTTATGCAGAGACCAGTGGAGTGGCATAGAAGCTACAGCACGAGTTTCTCTTACCAACTTGGCATTGGGTGCACGGGCTTCCCCAGGCAGCGCCAAGGGAGGAACAGCACTGGGACTTCAAGGTAGCTCCATTGATGTTGATCTCACATCGCCCATCAATGGCAATCTGCCAGCAAGTGCCCTTGATGGTTTCTGCAGACAAGGGAATAACAGTTAAAAGATATTTAATAGAATCTATTCCAAAAATTCAAACATGCACATTAATAATGAAATGTCTCCTCAAATAAAGGGAGAGTGGCATTATAAAATAAGGAATAATGATAATTTTTAAAACTGTTCATAAACTCTTTGACAGTAAAAGCTGACATTAAGTAGAGCAGCACTGATAAACATAAAAAAAACCATTCTCAGGAAGATAAATACCTATGCAGATGGTTTTTGTTGGATCCAAAGTACTTTCAGAAGAACATTCACAAATAAAAGAGCCTGGGGTGTTCTTGCAGACTCCATTAATGCAAGGGCTTGATTCACATTCGTCGATGTCTGAAACCAAAACAGGTCTACATTACTGCTAAAAGCTAGTCTTGGGCCTAAATGAGTACTTCAACTTCAGCCTCAATTGCTACTACATATTCTTCAAACAGTAAAGATGGCCTAAATAGTTTTTCTATACTAGATGGAATGCCAAAATACTAATTGAACACACCTCTGTAGTATAGAATCCAGCACTTGGCTGAATCTTTTTATTCAGAAAATCTGAAGCAAATATATTTGTGATTTCTGAATTATTAACTCAAACAGCATATATATATATATGTAGTATTTTTTTCATCTATTAAATGATGGCAAAATAAAATGCCAGTTGAAGGCAAATGCAAAATGAAACTTTTAAATGGCATATGAATGCAAAATAAATGGTAAGTAAAATGCCAGTTGCAGGTAAATACCATCAGTAGCTTACAAAGTATGTACAAGAGCCATTTAGAATCACAGAATGTCAACTAAATTGGCATAATTGTCTAAAATACAAGTGATTCTAATGTATGCTTATGGTTTTCTAATAACATTTCAAAAGACAGCACAGTACATTAGTAAAATAACAAAAATATGGTTTACCTTCACAGGTTTTTAGGTCAGGTTTGTATATAAATCCCTTGGGACAGGTACAGACAAAACTTCCAGGAGTGTTTCTACATTGTCCATTGTCACAAAGCAGACTATTCAGTACACATTCATTAATATCTGGAAGGTCAATGAAAATGAACAATTAAAGGAGCCCATCCCTTGTACACAACTTATTTACCCTTTTCAATTAGGTCTTTAAAGTCAGAACAGCATGATCAATTCAAGCAAAGAGACAAACTGTCTATGCCATTGGTTTTTGTCTAAATGATCTCATTTTAGGACCAGAGGTTTGACCTGGTTGTCTAGACAAGATACCTACAAAGCCAAAAGTCACTAGATACTATTTAATTGACGTTCTTTAGTTGGAAGAAAACCAGGATTTGCTGGAAATCATAATCTTTATATAATTACTTCATTGTATCAGAATTAAATGGATTAATCTTTTTGATTTAAGAGACTAAATAAATATTTTTAAAGTGTGATCCATCTTTGGCTGAGTGTGGTGGCTCACACCTGTAATTCCAGCACTTTGGGAGGCTGAGGTGGGAGGATGGTTTGAGCCCAGGAATTCGAGACCAGTCTAGTCCTCACCTCTACAAAAAAAAACCAAAATATTATCTCGGTGTGGGCGTGCCTATAGTCCCAGCTACTGGGGAGGGTCTGTCAGAAGTATTGCCTGAGTCCAGGAGGTTGAAGCTACAGTGAACCATGATCTTGAAACTGTACTCCAGCCTGGGCAACAGAGTCAGACTCCAGCTCAAAAAATAAAAATAAAAATGAAAAATAAAGAAGGGAAGGAAGGAAGAAAGGAAGGAAGGAAGGAAGGAAGGAAGGAAGGAAGGAAGGAAGGAAGGAAGGAAGGAAGGAAGGAAGATATGGTCCATCTTTCCATCTTTGATATGATTTAATATGTATTAGTTCCAGGATGGGTGTTTCCTCCTTATAGTAATCTAAGTTATCTCCAGTTATGTTTATAAAGCATGAAGCAATCTGTAGAGTTAATGATTGTCGTGGGGGAATTTAGACTCATGATTCAGAGAGCTGAGGAAAACTGCTTGCTTTCAGCTGAATAATATACCTATTTGAAGCAAAACCTAACTTTATGGTATGTATTACTTAGATAATTTAGGAAATGTAGAAATTATGCAGGTTGAGCTAAATTTCATTAAACAACCCACAAAATAGGCTAGACACTCATAAGAAATTTTGCACATACTGAGGAATTCTGGTTAGATCATCATTTGACAAATTGGTAGCCCTAACAATAAAACATACATAGATTCAGCACTGAGGAACTACAAGGTTCACAATGCAGTTATAAAGAACTTAAAATATGGAGTATAAAGTTATGCTAGTGTCCAAGCAAACAGCATGCTGGGAATTCATTCTATCAAAATGATATAAGGAATACTAATATTTCCCAGAAGGGTCTCTAGCACCAAAGGACTTTCAAATGGTCAAGTAAGAGACATGACAAACTAGCTTGATGCCCAGTGACATAAAGAGAGTAGAAACTTTTTTCTCATAGGTCAGAGCATACAGCGACTCTGATGGCTGGTTGGGAGCTATTGAGTCCAGCACTCAACAAGTACTTGGTGTTTGCTAGATTTTGTATTGTATTGAAAGAATGAACAGAAAGACATATTTATTTCACTCTGCTTCGTCTGAATAATTACACGTTGCAAAAACTCAGATCATTACTTTTCTTTTTTAAAATTTTATTTTGTCATAGAGATGTGGGATACAAGTGAGGATTAACTACACGAGTAGGCTGCATGCAAATGAAATCTGGGCCTCCAACTAGCCCTCACTTCCCCTGGTTGGGACCAGGTACCTTTTGTGTTGTTACGTGCCCTCCTCCCTTCCTCCCTCCCCTGGCAGCCCAGTGACTGCCAATCCTTCCCTTGTGCTACTGGGATTGATTGATGTTCAGGTCCAACTATGAGTGAGAATATGTGGTTTTCAGTTCTTTGTAAACTACAACTAATGGCAGATGAGAGGAAATTCCTAACTGCAAGGCCCTAAATGACTTTTCAAAAAGTAAAAAATAGGTTTTACATCTCCTATTTTATCGTAAAGTTTATTAATTGTCATCCTACTCCATAAATGTATGCTTGTTTATGTGTAAAACATGCTTTGCCTCCAAATAAAAAAAGATGCATCATCTTGCATTTTAGGTTTGATACATCCTAACATTTTCCCATGAGTATGAATATCCTGACTTTAGAAGCCCAACGTCAGAGTAGTATGTCACTACACTACAGTACTGACATTGCTTTTCAGAAAACACTAGTCTGGCAACAGGAGAATTTTGAAGAAAAAACGTTAACACGATTAGTGTCCATGTTGAGCATTTTCTTTCAAACAAAATCGTTCACTTAGTTACTGGCTGGGACCTTCATTAAGAAGCGTTAGAGCATCAAAAATGGTATTTGTTAAGCCTAACGGAGAGTAGTTATTCCTGAAAATAAACTGAGTTTTACTAAATCTAATGAACAGTTGGGAGAAGAATGGCTCTTGTCTTGGTAAAAGCAAAGATGACTTTGTAGCCACATGACAAAGGCTCAGAATCTTTGCATTTTACACATCTAAGGATCTTCTCTTTTAAGGAGTGAATTGGATACGTCATTATTTATAAACTGTCAAAATCGAGTTACATAAATTTGTGTTAATAAAGATATGCATATGTCATGCTGACATTCAAAGTGTAAAGCATCTGTTTGCCTAGTCCTCTAAGCTACTCAAGAGCAGTTTTCTCCAAGCAACAAAAGAAGGAATGCATTATGCATGCAATCTCTTAGAAAACAGGTAAAACTTCTTACCAACACAGTTTTTTCCAGTTGAATCCACTTCATATCCTGAATTGCATATACATTTGTAGGTTCCACGAAGGTTTTCACAAATTCCATTTGGGCAAATATCAGGATCTAATGCACATTCATTTATATCTGTACCACAAAGAAGTTCAAAATCAATTAAAATTATAAAATAAACATCAAATGAATTGTTAAAAACATAACATTACAATAAATGTAATGACCTTAGGACCTCTTGGGAGAAAAAAAAAAAGATTTCACTTGGAAGAGAATGCTTGATCCCTTTTTCTAAATGTAAGATATTCTAACTCAAATCTTTCTTCCACGAGTTCCTGAGAGGAACTTGGCATCTGAGCTGAAACTACACAACTATCTATCCTTAATCAAGCTGAAGGTAACCTCCTGGACTTCTGGTCCAGGTACCAACATGGAAAGGTGGGTCAACGGTAGAGCCCAAGTCCCTGTAACTGGTCTCCCTGCCTGACCAGCCCCTCCTTCTTCAAACTACCTTCCACACTACCACCATTCTTAACATCCTCAAAACAAGATGATTCTGTTATTCTCATGGTTTAAACTTTTGTAGGTTCAATAATACCCTCAAGAAGAAATTAAAATAAGAATCCTTTGCTTATTTACTCCACACTTCTCACTCTTCTGTGAAAATACAATGCCCTCTTTAATCTGTGTCAGAAATGCCTGGAACAGACCTATTCAGTGGTCAAAAGCCAGCTCAAACGCCACATGCTCCAAAAAAGCCTGTTACTCAGCCCAGATGAGGCAAGATCCTCCCTCTTCTGTGCTCCTATGAACTGAGGAAGGCTCTCATAGTGAAGGATGATACAAAATGACAGTCAGTGAATAGGGAGCCTCAAATCCTGGTGCCTGACTCTTCCATTAATCAGAGTTGACACTTTTTGTTCTTCCAAGTACCTATCACAACTTATTTATTCACCACTAACTCTTTATTCATTATAAATTTCCTTATTTCTCTTTTTTCCTCCTACAAATATCCCCTCCCCATCTTCATTCACACATAATGATGAAATGAATCATGTTGAAAGAACTGACAATCAATTAAGCCAGTCCACTTTTTTTCAGAATTGTAATTAATCAAATTGTGTAGCTTTATATTAATAAAATAATCCCTTCCTCTTTCTTGTCACCTCTTTTTAATACTTGCTCCAATTTTCCCTTTTAACTTTAATTTCTTTTATGGCACTAATATCTCTCTAGTTCTAACTCCTACTCTAAAATATTTCATTCTATTCCAACTCAGTTAATTGCTGTCACTGCTTGCTACAAAACATAACATGGCTCCCTATTGCCATCTTAGAATGACTGAACACTTGACAGTTAAGAAATCATTCAGAATGTAGATGGATAATGGTTCAACCAGCCTATAATCCCAAAATGTATTTGACAATGGAAGATCCAAATGAGAATCAGGCTTCTCCTTCTCAAGAATGAGCAACAAAATTCATATATCTCATTCACAGGAGCCCATCAACCATGTTAGGAGAGTGCTAGACCCCTTTAGTGACCAACCCCTACACCCACACCCAGCAATCCCACAGCCCACGATGCCATGGTTGCTCTGCCACTGGAGGCTTCTAGGCATCCCAGATACATCATGCAGTGATGGCCAGAGAGGGAGTCAGGCCAGACTGGTGTAAAGGGGCCAACTGAAAACCCACAGGAAGGCTGATGCTGCCTCTGCACATGCTTAAGGTAGTAAATTTTGAAAGGGATCCTTACCGCTGCCTGCTGACGTCATCCCTGGTCCACTGCTGCAGAGTGCCTGATATTCCGCTGCAATAAATTAACAGATAGTAAATGATTCCCTTGTTTGCAGAACAAGTCAATCCTGCTCTTGGTTTTGCACACATCATTTCCTCCAAAGTGAGTAGAACCGAAATTAAGTGGGAACAGAAATGGAGGTATCTCCTGGGGGAGTCACCGTTACACCAGATTGCCATTTTAAAGGCTCCGCATCACCGAGGAAAACAACTTTTAAGGATATAGGCAAGTTATAGCAATTCCTTGTGCAAAGCCCTTTCGGAAAAGGTGTTTTTCCTATAACTTGATTTTGTTCACCAGGGAGCACTTTACACTTACAGTGAAATGTGCCTGTTAAAATGTGGTTTCTTAACTGTTAATAAAACTTTCTCCCACCATCTTGGGAATAATTTTGTTTCTCGGTGCTAGCTGTTTTTTCAGCACAATCAAGTTCTTAATTTCCTCATTTTTCTCTGCAAATTCTCCAGTCTTCTCTCACAAGAACAACATAGAGTATCTATACTTGCATTTAAATGTATTTTTAAAGTTAATATTTATCAAGATACTGGATTCATTCTCCATGCTATAACTATAGAGAAACTACTGCCTAAAGTTAAAACTCTGAGATAGGGCAAGTATTGCTTAATGTTAAAACTGTGAGTGAGATTTTATTGAAGAAATTGAGGCATACAGCATATGTTCCCAAATTTGTGATGGGATCAGATTTCTATTTCTTAAATTAATCCAACATTTTGCATACTATTCTAACAATATCTAGATGAGCATAAGATTGAATAATGAAAAGGGAAAACTAACTGAAAGCACACCATTGGAGGAGAAGAAACTAAAATGTCCCCTTAGCTGCCCATTATGTCCAGCAAACGTAGTCACATGGTCAAATGTAAATCTGTGCTTGAGTGGAAGAGCTGGAGATTAGGGATGGGATGGGCCTTTTTATAGAGGCTGACTGCACCTCACTGCTGAAGCAAATAGTTCTTATACTTCGACATGCCAGAGAATTGCATTCCTAATGACAGGATGCAAATGAATTATATAAACAAAAAGTTACTGTGTCTTCTAACAAATGTTAATTTGAGGAAAGCAGTGAAATCCCTTAATTTTCTAATCATCTTAAAAGGGGCCAAAAAGGAAACAAATGGGAAGGTGGCTACTATTGTGTGTTTGAAAGTCAGATACTGGGAGCAAACATAAATTAGTCCTTTTTGTTCTGTCATAGCAGCAATTAATTAAGGCATTCATGAAATACTGTAAGGAACAGAACAAGAAAAACAAAATCATGCCAGTTTTATAAAAAGCACTTTTATAGTTAATGGCAAATTAGCTGATTACTGTCACCACTGTTTTCCATTTGGGCAAGATCGGTATTATTCTTTGTTATGAAGACAAATCAGCATGTGTTAGAATGTTATGACAATGCTTATTGCTGGGGGTCTTGGAAGCAAGTCCTTTCTCTCTGTCAGTTTCCTCTTTCATAAGCTGGGGATAATGATGTCTGTTTCACCGGGAAGTACTATAGATTTTACGAGATAACATGGAACATGCGTAGTTCAGGCACTGAGTTAGAGGTAGGTGTTGCTGAGCTAATTAAGTGTAGCATTGTAGAGACTTTGGTCAGGGGAACCATGAGAAAATTTCCCACAATTACACTCCTGTGGGTTTAACCGACCAGTTTCTGTGAGGAGCAAATGTTACCGTTAGAGGCCGAGGATACAAGAGGGCTTGCTGAACAAGGTGATTCGACTTCAGCAGCCAGGGAAAAACAGCTTCATGTATAGCTTGCGTGACGTGCAGAACACAAAGATGAACTTTAGCTCTTCTATAAATTGGAAGCTTTCATTCAACTGGCTGAAGACATTCCTTTCAGATATTTTCAATACTTTGAAAAATCCTCCATCTCTCCTGAAATGAGGGATTTCCTACATTCGGATCTTTCATGATTTGGCATTTTTATCCATCAAAGAGATGGAGAAACCAAACTGAATGCAACCACTTCCACACGTGGACCTCTACTGTGTCGATTCATTTAACTATAAAACAGAATTTAGTGGAACTGGGCCTCAAGTTTGACTCTCTTTAAGCTCTTCTGCTGCTGTGGTTTGACTGTTCATGTGTTGAAAATTTAATCCCTAATGCAACAGTACTGGGAAGTGGGGCCTCCTAGGAGGTGATTAGGTCATGAGGGTTCTGCCCCCATGAATGGATTAATGTCATTATCATGGGAGTGGGTTAGTTATCACAAGAATAGGCTTGCTATAAAAGCAAGTTCAGTTTTCTTTTGTTTTCTCTCACCCATGTGTGCTCTCTTGTCCTTTCACCTTCTGCCATGGGGTGACAAGGCAAGAAGGCCCTCCCTAGATGTCCACACCTTGGTATTGGACTGCTCAGCCTCCAGAACTGTTAAGAAATAAACTTATTTTCTTTATAAATTATCCAGTCTTTGGGATTCTCTTACTATACTACAAAATAGACTAAGACAACTGCTTAAGGAAATCTGGTCCCTTTTCGTCATCCTTTTATAAATGCACATCATTTCCCTATAGATCATAAGAATTCTCTGGAGATGCAGTTGGTCCAAAGGAAAATGTGAAAGGAAAGAACTACTATATGCACCAATTCCTAGATTCTAAATCTTGGCTCTTCTCATTCAATGTATGAACAAATCACCTGTACTCTTGGTTACCACTTTCATGATACTCATCTGTCTTGTAAACTCAAAGTATGTAAGAAAATTACTTTGAAAAGTTAAAAGAACATGCAAAAGGGTAATATTAACAATATAAAACTATGAAGTTATATGGAAGTATCTGATAGAATGATATTTACAAATAATTAAAGTATTGTAAGCACATATTTAATTGGTTGGTGATCATATATAAAATTATAATTTTTATATTGTTGTGGGCGAGGCAAATAGCCAGAACAAAGTTTTATTTCTTTAAATTGGCATCCTTTATTTCTTTTAGTCTTCCATTTAACTTTCTCTAACTTCTCATAATATACTTTAATTTTCAACTATAATTTCAAATGCTATCATTTTAAATTTTAAAAATCTTCTAAAATTTAATTTACTTAGGGAAGAAATAAACTGACAGAATCTTGTACGTAAACCAACCAATCAGAGCTACATGTTTTCAATATTATGTCTAACTCTATTTTAGGACACTAGTAGTCAAAATTATGCACAAATACTGACACACTATTGTTTTAATTTTAATAAACTATTTTTGCTTTATAAATAGAAATAATTTACAACTGGAGAGAACCTTCTGGATTACGTAAGGCAACTCATTTTGTAGATGAGAAGTCTAAGAATCCCTTTATCATATTATTGTATCTTGTAATTATGTTTATTAATGTATGCCATCTCAGATGCCATGTCAGATTCTTTTGAAATTCCTAAGTAAGTATAATCCATAAAGAACTAAACCTTCCAATTAACTAAGTCATCTGCCCCATCTGCCTCTGGATGAGGAAGCAGAATTTTGACTCACCCTCCAGTTTCCTTTTCACTATACCACCTCAGTTGAAGAGAATGAATTTAAGAAAACTACACCAAAATCAACATGTGGGATGTGAACAAAATTGACAAATATCCTTTTGGAAAACTGTTGGAAATAGGTACGTGATATACTTGGAGAGCATAATGAATCATTCCCTGTGAATTCCATAAAGGCAAAGACCTCAAATGGTGGCAGAAGGCCAGCAATAGGAGGACAGCTCTGTGATACCACATACCTGAATTCTGTGCAGGACATGGCTGGCAAGGTTCCCCAAATGCATACTCGGTGTTGGCACAGCAGCATTCAGATTTAGTAACAGCACCAAATAAGGGTTTGACACACTGGCCTCTCTTGTATCCACCATAGCATGTGCTCCGCATGTGTGTGTCTAAACAGAAAGAAGTATATGTCATCAAACTGTCACTTCAAACAGAGGAGGACCCCCCCATTCAAAGTTGAGGAGGGCTTTATTTCTCCATAGTCCCTCCTCTTACTTACAGAGAATGCCTCTGGTATTAGAGCTCAACAAAAAGAAAAAATAAACAAAAATAGAGAGACAAAACACATTCAGCCTCCAAGCACTGGCAACCAATGGCCAGATTCTATCAGTTTTCTAGGGACTATCACAGTTTACCAAACTGTGAGACCCTTGTGAGCTGGGATTATATCTTATTCATTTTTGTCTTCCGTAGTCCTGTACAAAGCAGGCACTTAATAAATGTTAAGTGAATGATGGATGAAAGTTGAATTTCACACCATGCTAAATGAGACCTTTATTAGAAATGTGGCCTACCCCAAAATAAACATGCAATTTCTGAATGTCTGAATTAGGCATACTTTCCAAAAAGGAGAAAGCTTAATCTTCAAAAGGTCCATTATGTAAATCTGTAGATGTTGGTCAACTAAGCAGTGTTATCTTTACCACCAGGGAAGGAGTTTGTATCTATGCCTAATCCTTTCCCAGACCAAAGGGTTTACTGAATATCTTCCCTAAAAATTTTTAAATAAAATTTGTATTCATTTATCAATAGGCCTCATACTTCTTATAAAGTCACATAAAACTATTATCATATATATTTCTGGATTAGTCGTGTTCTTTTTTGCATTCCATACTTCTCTTGGACATTAATTCTCTATTAAAATGTTCATTATGAGGCCAGGCATGGTGGCTCATGTTTATAATTCCAGCACTCTGGGAGGCTGAGGCAAGAGGATTGCTTGAGTCTATGAGTTTGTGACTGGCCTGAGCAATATAATGAGACCTTGTCTCTACAAAAAAAAAAGAAAAATTAGCTGAGCGTGGTGGCGCACACCTGTAGTCCCAGTTACTTGGGAGGCTGAGGTGAAAAGAAGGATCATCTGAGCCCAGGAGTTCAAGGCTGTGATGATCCACAATCATGCCACTGTACTCCAGCCTGGGTGACAGAGCAAGATCCTGTCTCAATTAAAAAAAAAAAAAAAAGTCCATCATGAGATAATGAGCATACACAGGTTGATTTCAAAGACCATTGTCAACCAAGGAGGGATGGAAACAATTGAGGACACTTTGGGATTAAGGAAGAAAAGGGGAAGGAGAGGCGGGAATCCCCTTGCTTTTCATTTATCTCAGCTCATCTTTCTATTCCTTAAATTAATATTCAATTTATACAAAAAGAGAACTGACCCTGTTGGTTCGCTGCCCTGCAAATATTCATTATATCCTATCTGCCACAGTAGAGAGCACTTGTTATTAGTGGGCTTTATTGATTGACAGAGGTGATCTCTGTCAAAATTCTAGCTTTGACTTTTTCTTACCAACACACACACGTCCATCCAGACCCACGGCCAGTCCCGGGAAGCATTCACATCTATAGGAGCCATCAGTGTTCACACATCGCCCATTCATGCAGATCCCGGGTGTTTCACACTCGTTAATGTCTGTGGAGGGGAGAGACACTTATCAAAAATAAAGTAACATTTATCTAATTATAACATGCTCACAATTATGCTATCCCACTTGAAAATGGAGGAAGATAGAAGATAATATGCAGCAATAATAAAAGTTCAATGAGATGGCATTCTAATTTTCTTAAAATCAAAAGAGAGCAACTGTTTGAATTTCTTACTTTCCCGTAAAAACCTACTTTAATAATAGTCTCCCAAAAGAATTTTTTTTAATCCAAAATAATCACAAAGACAAAAACAGAATTAGAGGAAAAATAAAAATGACTGCTAAAAGACAAAAGTTTTTGTGTAATGCATGACACATGTAGCTCTTCTAGGACTACCAGAAATGTGGCTTGATAATAAACTACATCTCTGACCTGGGCAGGAAGATTTTCCTTTTAGCATTCATTGCCCAGATAGGTGTCCAGTCATTCCAGAATCACCCATGCCTCAGCTCTCTGGTACAATTAGACTAACATTAAGAGATGTACAGCTCAAGCCTTTATGGAACACCACAGAAAAAGAAAGAAAATGAACATGGATGATTTTAATGACCATTCTTGGCCAATAACAGCACTGCAAGCAATTGGCCGAGAAAAGAAAAGTCTGTCTTAAACATTACAAATATTTTATAAGATTATATATGTATATTTGGGAGGAGGGGTCTGGTAAAAGACTTCATTAGATACACACTAATAATAGCAGACATGTTTTTCTTCTTAATATGAGAAAGTAGCCGGACTCGGTGGCTCAGCCTGTAATCCCGCACTTTGGGAGGCTGAGGTGAGTGAATTGCCTGAGCCCGCAGGTTCGAGACCTGCCTGGGCAACTTGGCGAGACCTCATCTCTACAATAAATCAAAAATAATTAGCCACGCGTGGTAGCGCGCGCCTGTAGTTCCAGCTACTTGGAAGGTTGAGGCGGAAGGATCGCCGGAACCCAGCAGGTCGAGGTTGCAGTGGCCAGGAGTGGCCACTGCACTCCAGTCTGGGCGACTGAGTGAGAATCCAACTCAAAAAAAAATGAGAAAGTACAAAAGTTACCAAAATTGTGTTTTAGAAAACATACAACACAAACCATTATGTAACAACTTCTTTTACAATATACAACTAGAGTATGTGACTATTTCCTCTCTTCTGACCTTAGTAAGGCAAATGAGAGTAAAAGAAAAAAACACTTTCATGTTTTACTTAGCTTATGCTGTTTGCCAATCACAAAATATATTCAGGTGATCCAAGATGCTGTGTACAGTTTATACTTAAAACAGCAGTTATATTTAAATACATGAACTCAAATAGTTTCAGTTATTCTGGTCATAATCAGTAAAATAGTGGCATTTACAACCTAAAAGGTAACAAAGACTTTTTAATGGGGACAGAGATGAAATGTAGATCCAAAGAGATGTGATATTGCTCAAGGGCAGGGGCCTCAATTTTCAGAGAGTGGTCAGAGAGGCTATGCTGTTCATCAGTTTAGTTAGCTATAGAGATTAAGTTAGCACTGTTGATTCAGCTTTGAAAAGTCACATCTCCGTGAACACAGAACTAAGTGCTCAGTGCTAAAAGAAAATCTTATCCCATGGCATAAGGAGAAAAATTATAAAGAGGAAAAATTCAGTATACATGGAATTACTTTCTTTTTTCTTTCTTCAGTTCTATTACAATGTGTGCATTCTATATTCTATACACTAGAAAAAGAGAAGACACAGGTCTTATAGAGCTATGGAGCTTTCCCTCTCTCATTCTGATCCTTAACCCAGAATATTAAGGTCAGAGCAAACCATTCAAATCATCAGCACTTCCAAATGAACAGAACAATCCATTTATTGATAAGATACTGTTTTGTTGTTTGCCAAACCCTAGTTTCATCGGAGGCCAGAGTGTCTTCTGAAACAGCATTATCTATTGGCCTTACCTAATGCAAAGAGGCTGCAATCAGCAACCCCAGCAGCCTATAGGAACTAAAAGTGAATAGCTTGCACTCTGTATTGACAAAGAAGAGTATGTCTTCTCACAGAAGTCTGTTCACAAAGGGGTTTTCACATTTCCTTCTGTTATTTTGTTTGTAAACGTAATTCAAAATATTCCAGCAATCTCTCTCTTCCTTTTTCTTTTTTACTTGTACCGTACTAAATTTGCATAATTTGACACTTTGCTTTATTCTATTTTACACTGTTGAATATTTCCACATGATAATCCTATCTTCTCATACAAGTTCCTACCAGCACAGGACTGAAAAGTACAGAAACCATTTTCCTACTTTAAATTTGAGAAACTCAACTGTTTTCTCTTGCTAGGAAGAGAGATTTACACAATATTAAGAGCCATTGATGAGAGGGTCATAGTGAATGTAGGTAAACAACCAAAGGTTAGAAGCTGTTTTAAGCCTGGAGAAAATGCACATCTTGCCAAGGACTTAATACAAGGCTTTCTTCCATAACACTTTTACCAAAGCTGTTCACTAGTGGCATGAAGAGAAGAGGCAACATAGGGCTTTATCCTGCTTTCTCAACCTTGAATAGCTTGACTATCTAACTACTGCATCTGAAACTATACATACAGGGTCTGGTCCCAAGTGCAGGACCCTTACTACACAAGGCAGGAGACCTTAAGTGCAAATTTGTCTCCGATGACTTCTTAAGATCCCAGTTTTAAACAGCAAATAAAAATCCTCATTTTTACTTTAACACCTGGGGAGCAATGAGATTATTTCAAAAGTTCCCAAATTAAATAATGGTTCTTGGTTTGTTTATTTCTTTTGCTTAATCCTCCAGTTTCCCTTTTTGCTTATATAACTTGATAAAGTTTAAAAAAATTTTCCATGAAAAATTTTGTTTCTTAAGATACCTGGAGGAAATTACAATGAAGAGATCACTGCAAATAAAAGTTGACAATATTCTGTCCAGGTAAAAATGTCAGAGTGGCAAATGAAGCCATCAAGAAGCCTCACTGCGACTCTTCCCCAGCTGGAAAGAAGAGGTAGAATACAGCTTCTTTAGAAAGATACCCACATCTGCTGGAAGACCAGTTGCCAGTTTGGCTTACTTATCTGCCACATAGCCTTTCAGACTCTTTTGAGAAGACCTCAAATGCCCTTTCCGAAATAAGAACAGACTTCTGGGCATAAACAGTAGCTATTTTAGATGGTTGGACTCAAGAAGAAGTTCTAGTCAGGTTTCCTAAACCAGAGTTAGGGGTACTTTAAATGGAAAGAATCAGTAAGAAAAGGTGGTACTTCTAAACCACGTAGACAGGAGAAAAAGCAGGCAAAGAACATGAATTAGAGTTCTACAGCACAAACCTTTGCAATAACGTCCATCCGATGCCAGCTGGAATCCAGGCTTGCAAATACATTTAAAACTGCCATCTTCGTTGATACACATTCCATTAAGGCACATGTTCCTAATGCTGCATTCATCCATATCTGGAAAATATAAAAGACACATTTTGTTATGACCAAGCCAATCTAAGTGAATATAATTCTGTTCCGTCACATTACTTTCTTTTTGGTTATTGCAGCCTAAGGCTAATTTTCATCCAATTAATATCATTCAAGGTGAAGAGAGGATATATGAAATACGTATCTCAAGCTCTTAAGTCCTGACATATACATGCAAGCTACGGGACTAGACACATACAGAGGGTGCCAAAAATGTATACACATTTTAAGAAAGGAAAAAACTGTAATTAAAATTATAATACTCAATATATACCGATAACAAAAGATGAATGCAAGTCAAGTTTGACTTCTGCAATTACAAGAGGTGCCCAAAGTGGTTACCATCAGCGTCTAGACACTTCTGATTACAGAAAACTACTTGTAAGACTTGTTGCTATGCGAAGCCTCCCAGATCTTCCCCTGTGCATATCACACACAATACCATACGTCTCAATTATCACGAATGTGTGCAATTGTTAGGTGTGTGAAGGTTCCATTGCATACTCAAGCCTCCATTGTCATTGAACTTCCATAACGTTCTCAAATTTCAAATACTTCAAAATGATCTTGCGCTCCTAGAATGACAACCATGCTTCCGCCATTTTCTTTGTCCTGCCTGTGGCATGGTGACACTAGCATTCATCTGATTAACGCCATCTTTTGAGTGAACACCATACTACCCATTGCTATTATACTTTGATTCAACTTCAGAAAGTAATACATAGATAACATCTCTTAAAATGTGTATACATTTTTGGCACCCTGGTATATATTATATATGCATATAGGTATATAATCATATATAAAAACTGACTACTCAATAGAAATTATCAAGATCCTCTTCAAGAGTAGCAGCTTACAACTGAAAAATGTGTTAATGGTCCAGTGGACATATTTACTTCACAGATTCATGTTATATCTAATAAACTGAAAATGAAAATAAAGTCAAAACTAAGACCAATGGAATCTGAAATGTGTTTAGGCTACATCCTAATTTTTTTAAAAGTGGAGACCAGAAGAGAGCTTATAGTTTAAAGCAATTTTAAATAGGGGTAGAGAAAAAAATGATTTTTTTAAAAATGCAAGACTCAACTATGGATTGATCATTGGGATAGTTATTTAAATTCATCAATATGCTATTCTATTTAACATCACAGCTATCTTGGGAGGCATTTGCACTTTTGGACAAGATATGTTTTCACTTACAGCCTCCTGGACATGATGTGTTTCCAGAGGCATGATTATACAGCACTATAGCCTCAAACTCCTGAGCTCAAGCAATCCTCCTGCCTCAGCCTCTCAAGTAGCTGTGACTACAAAAATTTTTTTTCCTTTTTTTAACAGGATTCTACCCCAACCGGGAATTTTGGCATTAAGACTTTGAATTGAATCACTAAGATAACAGTCTGCCAAAATGTTTATAAGAGCAATTTTGAAATTCTTTCAATGTATGAATAGATTCTTGGAGTCTTTTCCAAAGATTTTGGAAAACACCATAAAGATCATTCTTCATTTTTTGCTGAAGGTCTATGAAATGAAAACTCATCAATAATAGTCAAATTTTCTATTCAGAAAAAAAAAAAACAACAGAGGAAAAAGACAAACTGTCTAAAGCAACCTAATTAAAAATGAGGTAATTAATTCAAGACAAAGGACTGGCTCTCAATAGTTACTGTTTCTCTTATACAAATTTTACATTTTTAGGTAATGACCACAAGTATTTTGTTACTAGGAAGACACTTTAAATAAAAAGATTGTAAATGGCTAGAGAATATGTGGGCTTAAATGTGTCCTATATTTTGTAAATGTACAAATCTGATGTATAAAATTAGGAAGTAATAATTTATGTTACAAAGATTTTATCATCACCAGGGATCTTTAAATTGCAAACTCTTCTAGAGTATTTGACTCACACAAATGTGAATTAAGACATAAATATTGTGGAAAATTAGACTTGCCTCCCAGATAAAATATGTGAAATACATTTGATACTTTGAGCTTTCACTCAATAATTTGTCTTGGACTTGTTGAAGGCCCTTTATACTGAAACTACAATGAAAGAAAGGGAATAACATTACAATGCTGTTATTACCTTCACAGTTCTTCCCATCTCGTGTAACATGAAAGCCTGCATTACACACGCAATGGAAACTACCATCTGTGTTGATGCAACGTCCGTTACTGCATATCCGGCCATTCTGTAGACATTCATCTATGTCTAAAATCAAAGTTTAAAAGGAAGAAATAGCTTTATTTAAGAAATTTAACATTATTTTTATTATTTCTTCCCTCCATTTCCAAACTCATAATGCTAACTGTGGATTTTATTACTCAATAATATTCATAATCATAAATTGGGTATCAAATCATATGATATTTAGGATTATCTGAAGTGGAAAGATATAACAGAAAAAAATACATAATCACATTCAATCTCTTTAAATTCCAATAAGACTACTTAAATCTCAAATCTGTAAACAAAATAGATTCTTCATCATTTTCCTCGTTAATTTATTAAACCAGTATATATCATTATTTATATTAACCTTTGGTTGGCATGTTTAAACACATGGCTAAAAAAGGCATATCTTACAGTTATACCAGAACAATATAACAGAAACACTATTTTAAAAAAATCATTTAATTCCATCTCAACCACACGTCTGATATCTACCTTTCTTCTCATCATTCTGGTCCATTTAAAGTGTCTTGGTCTTTTAAAAAATAACTTTATGAGTATTCTATCTATCAAATAAAATATTGGTACTGTGAGGCATTTTTCTCTTGTGTCTACTGTGCTTAATACCATGACAAAGTACACAATACAGCTTGATAGGGAAGTGTTAAAAATGACAATAACTCAAACTGTATTTGATTTCTCATTTAAAGATTAACGATCAACCCAAAGTGAACAGCACGGTACCCTGGAGTATCTGTCTCCCTGAGTTTTTAGAGGCCACAAACCTGGACAAACCTCAAAGGAAGTGAACACAGACTGCCTTGTCTACATAGCATACAATTGTTTCCAGGACTTATTCCCAGAAGATAGGAACCAGGAACGGTAGAGTTAGATGAGAGCAGACCTATCCATGCAGAATTGAGGCCACATTTGCCCGAGTGGAAGTGCCCTAAACATCCTCTGGATAAGAATGTGCATTCATGCCATATCAGTTATTCCGACTGTTTACCCTGCCTCTCCATGGTGTCTTGTGGTTGACCCTCAGACGCACTTTCTTTCTGGGCAAATCTTGCAGTGGTTTCCACACGAGTCATTGGACTAGCTGAGGCAGTCTGGACTTTTCTTCTGTCTGATCTTTGTGCCAACAACCTACAATTTTTTTCTTTCTCTCATTTATTTCTTAATCCTTGCTAAAATCGAACTTGCTCTACACTTCAAAAAAATGGTAAAACCGCAGTCTTGAGCAGACTTTTTTTTTTTTTTAGGATACTATAATTTTTTGAGGCCCAAGGTTAAACTGAACAGGATAAAAAATTCATCTTTTCCTCTCCTCACCAATTTCAGAATGCCACTGGGCTCCCCATTTCCTTAAAGACAAATTAAAAGCTTGCCATTTAAAGTTCTCCTCTCTTGTGTTCTGCTTCTATCCCCTGGCCCTTTCTATCCAGCCCCTCATGTCCTTTTCACCAACAAGTAAACAATCTTTTGGATCACACTGTAGATCAATTTTCATCTACAAAACAGCATGAGTGTGTTCTCAACTTCTGATGTTTAGAATAAGCTCAGGCACTCATTCTTAAAGAAGACAGTGCTTGAGGTGTTCAAGTCATCCTCTGTCTCCAATAAATTGTCTCAGAATGATGACAACCACATGCATTGATACTGGCTGACCCCTACCCCAGTCAAATGCTCTCAATAATTGCTTCTCTTTGCTTATTGAATAGTGCAGTCTCTGAACATTGATTTCATTTATTTTCTACTATTGCAAAATGCCTAATATACTATTTGTACATGCAAATTAATTTAAATAGTAGTTATAAAAGTCTCAGCTTGGTTAAATATTTATTCTATCCATATTTATAATTCATTAATAGAAATATTAGCAAGTTGAAAGACCATGTTTCAGTTTTTTCTGCTCATTGCCATTTATATTGTAGTATACTAAAATACACTGATGGCAAGAAATCTCAAAGTCAGAATACAATTCAAAGATTTTGAAACCAGTTCACTAGTTAAAATTAAAGCTGCTATCATCTATGTCTTTAACTCACATAAGGAGCTTTTGCTAAAAGAAGCAAATAAAATTAGCTCCTATTAATGGCTGCTACATTTTTATTGCTGTAAATCTCCCTACCTTTCTTTGTATTTAATTTTAACAGAGTGTTTGCTTTTTTTTTTTCTGGCTTTTACTGAACTAATGATATAGTTCATTCTGTGCCAAATTTAGAGATAGAGATAAATATGTGGGCTTCTGAGGGTGAGTAGTATATCTCAAGTATTTCTGTTTCAGAAACTTAGTACATAAAAGTCATTTAATAAAAGACATATTGCATGGCTTAATAAATAAATTAATAAACAAACCCTATGGGAACTTCTTATGAGGGGACATTTATAGCAGTGCTTCTCAAACTTTAATACCCATACAGATCACTGGAGGATCTTGTTAAAATACAGATCTGACTCCGTAGGTCTGCGGTGGGGCCTGAGATTCTGCATTTCCAACCAGCTCCCAGATGATGTTGTTGCTGACCACACTAAAAAGCAGCAAGTGACTTCCTTATCCTTCAGACATTTCCATTAAGAAATTAATTGCAAAAAATTTCATCTGAAACTTTCCTCAGTTTCTGAGTCATAAGAGGCAATCTCACTCTCTAGCACTGAGATGAAAACTTAACAGGCAATAGTGATGAGGCAAAGGAATACTGACAGTAAGATTTCCATAGGCACAGAAGCATCTTTTAAAATCATTTCAAGCTGGGCTCGGTGGCTCAGCCTGTAATCCTGCGCCTTTGGGAGGCTGAGGTGAGTGGATTGCCTGAGCCCGCGGGTTCGAGACCCGCCTGGTCGGTGAGCGGGTTCGAGACCCACCTGGTCGGTGAGACCTCATCTCTACAGTAAATAAAAAAATCAGCCGGGCGTGGTAGCGCATGCCTG